AGAGAGAGGACCACTACTTAGGTACAAGTGATGCCTTTGCAACAGCTGTCCACGTGGCACTTACCTGCACTGCTTTGCAGAGTCACTCCCCATTCAAACATTTGCCATGTCATTCATCTTTTTTTTTTAACTTCTCCTATGCCTTTTTTTCTAAGCTGATGTCTTGATCTATTTTAATCTTTTCATTTAGAAGTTGTTCTATGCTTGAGATGGTCCTCATCACCTTCCTATTGCTTTTTTTTTCTTTTTTTAAACTTCCCTTTCTTTTCAAGGTGACCAGAATATCAGTTTCCAAGGTGTGGACAAAAATGAATTTACATGCACGTTATATTCTCTCCTTTTTCTTCCATTCCTTTCCCAACTACTCTGAGCAGTCTCTTTATCTTTTTAACTACTGCTGAACACTGGACAGTTTATGAAAACTCCTGTTCACAGTGGACCCCGGATCCTTCCTAAGGGGAAATAGGTAACTTAGGACGCATACATAGAGTTGGTTTTCCAACATGCATGCATATATGTATTTCCATACATTTTAACAACCCACCACTTATTTTTATGAATTTATTTTACAATTCCTTACAATCAAGTTTAGTTTTTACTACTGCGTGTAATTCTTTCACCCCACTAATTCACACAGTCTGTTTAGACAAGCTTACCCTATAACTTCTCTTACAGCAGGCACTAGGAGGCTTTAACTGAGCTGTGCTTTCCCAGAGCTCTCACAGAGGCAGCAAACGTAGCAAGAGTACAAAGATGAAACTGAAGAGAGCTAAAAGGGACAGTGGTGTAGAATGGTGCAGACACAGATTCAGAGAGAAGAAAATGCATCAAAAAAGGAAGCAAGAAAGAGGCCCCGCAGAATTAAGATTTGAACAATGGGTTATCTTGAGAGCCAAAAATGAAAATGCCTCAGCTCCATCTAAGAGAGGGTCCTCTCTCGGCAGGATTGTTTGTCCTAAGCTTGGAAGGAAAACTAACTTGGCAAGTCAGCGAGGAGTTCACGTGGGGCAGGGAAATCTTACCGCAGCCAGCGGCACTCGCCAGATCTCAGGCTCTCTCTGAACACAGGGAACGTTCTGGCCTCAGATAAATATTTTTTGGGATGGCTCTCCTGTGAGAATACAGATCCCTAGAGCCAGCACAGACTGAAGGAGGCCAGCAAGGTAACCTTCTGCTTACAACAGAAGCAGATTAAAAATCCGTGCATTTATAAATTAATACAGTGTTTTCTGAGCAAGCTAAGACAGCATGAGCTCTATCAGCTTAGACTTCCCAAACTTCTGGGACAAGGCTCACCTGTTCAATAAGTGCACACCAAGCCATGAATGGCACCGAGGCGCGTTTCCACAGCGCAAATAAACAGAGCGCTATACATATGCTAAAATGATGCACAACACGTTGAGTTCAGCCCTTTACTGATAAGCCACGGCACGCTCTTCTGAACTTGGCAGTATCTCAGATCTTCCCTCTGTCCCTTCATTTTGCCTGCCTCTTCTGCTCATTTGCAGGTGACTGCTGGTTCCTGGCAGCCATCGCTTGCCTAACCCTGAATAAAAAACTCCTCTGTAGAGTCATACCTCACGACCAGTCCTTTATACAAAACTACGCTGGCATCTTTCACTTCCAGGTGAGTCCCCCCCCTCCATCTACGCGGAAGCAGATGTGACTGTTTGCCCAGCAGAGAGCTGAGCCCCCTTTGCCTTCTCCACCCTTCGAAAGTGTTAAGCGGCAGCAGGGAAGAGGAAGAGGTCTCGAGTCCTCTCCCACTGGACCCTTCAGCGGGGAGTCGCGGGTGGGCCAGCCCGCGCAGGCGGGCGACGCGGGAGCCCGAGCCCACCAGCGAGGCGCCGCAGGCAGCAGCGGCCCGGGCGTGAGGGGCAGCGGCAGGTGCCTGGAGAGAAGTCATTGGAGAATTGGTTATTCAGAAAGGATTCACTGCCTGCCGCCGCGTTTCCCATGACACCCTGGAGGGGCCCTCGATGGCCGGGCAGGGAGCACTGCCTGGGGGCGTCCAGGCCAGCTGCCTCCCTCCCGACTGCCACCTCGCCGCCCCTCAAGGCAAAGCAATGCCTGACACAAAAAAGAGGCAGGAAGGAGTATAAGGCAGGCCGGGAGGCTGAGTCCGTAGCTGCCCCGGGGGACCGGGCATCTGGGAAGCGGCAACGCGCTTAAAATTTGTGCCCAGAAGCTCCCAGGATGTTAGACCTCATAAACGGCTAACGCCCACTGAACAAGGGGCTGCAACTTCTGCCAGCGCGAGGCTGGCTGGAAGGGCAGAAAAGGGTTTCAAAGTTTCAACAGATTAAGACAGTTTCTGGATTTATTTATTTAGTTTTTGGTTCCTCTCTCAGCCTGGCTTATAAACCAGGCTGCCCCCTCCCCGCCTCAAATGAACCAGGAGGTTTTTCTGTTTGCCTTTACCCAGTTCTGGCGCTACGGAGACTGGGTGGACGTTGTCATCGACGACTGCCTACCCACGTACAACAACCAGCTGGTCTTCACCAAGTCCTCCCAGCGCAACGAGTTCTGGAGCGCTCTTCTGGAAAAGGCCTACGCAAAGTAAAAAAACCCACTAGACCGCCCCAGGCTGAGGCTGTATTTGGGGAAGTGATCAAAACTCTATGTATAAGCCCTGCACGTGCACTGTAAGAGGCTCTTAGTACAAGCACCCCTTTCCACAGATGGTAGGGCCTTAGAATTGGGTATGGGGCAAAGCACGTTTTCTAGTTTAATTTACTACTCAGAGATCTACACTTGATTCTAACATCTCTGTTTTTTATTTTTTTTAATTTGTGCAGGCAGCATGTTCTAAAACTTTAAATTGTAAGGCTACCAAACACGGATTTTTTTCAGTATGTGTGTGTATACACAAGACACGTGTGCATGCCCTTGTGTGTATTATACATACACACGGTAATTTTAATTGTCCTTTCTCTTTCCAAGACTCCATGGGTCCTATGAAGCTTTGAAAGGAGGCAACACCACAGAGGCCATGGAGGACTTCACAGGAGGAGTGACAGAGTTCTATGAGATAAAAGATGCCCCTAAAGATACCTATAAAATTATGAAACATGCAATTGCCAGAGGATCCCTCATGGCCAGCTCCATTGACGTGAGTCCGCATGAACTCTGCATGTGAGCCATAGCAACTGGCAAAGGAGACGAACCTCTCCATTAGCAATCCAATATACGTAACCTTTTGGAACTCCTTGGTTTAGCTCACATAGCAAATGTCCATTTCTAGGAGATGGGGGAATCTTCAGTGGAAATCCCTCACTAGTAAACAGCAAGCACCACAAGGGAAATTAGCAGAAGCTGAGCACGAAGGTGCGGAGAAGGGGTATGATCAGCAAAACCAGCACACTCCTTTCAGTGGCCTCACCCAGTAAAATTTAGTACCATGGTGCTGCAACTCTGTTAACACCCAGATCTTCAGGTCAAAGATGCTTGTAGTATGTAAATGCTTAGAAAGTTAACCCTTTGGATCCCAGCATGGACATAGAATATCTCCATTTATACTTTATTCAAAAGTGAAAGTAGTCTCAACACCCATACAAAGTATGAAGTTGCAGTAAAGGTACCAGAACAACCAGTGCTATTGACTACTGTAGATAAGTGTGGACCATCTAGCATGTAAGGAGGGAGAATAGAAATTATCTCGGCTATCTTTCGCCACTCTAATCTTTCTCGTATTATTTCTCTTCTCTCTTTCTCTGCACTATACGTTTTCCCATTCTCTGTACCAGGATAACTTAGGCTTTTCCTATGGATCAGCTCCTCGAAGTGACATTGGGGAACTGATTGCTCGAATGGTGAAGAATCTAGAAAACGCACAGATGACTCAATCCACTATAGACTACCAGGGGATGGACGAAAGGCCAGCCTGGGTTCGTATGTCTCAAGAAGCAATTGACTTCAAAGCATTTCTACCTCTGGCGAGAGCAGTTAGAGAAACATCACCTATGTTTTTAAATCCTTATTTCACTTCACTGAATTATCCTAACACTAAAGATCTGTTATTTTGGCTGCTATCTGATGCATGCATTACAGGATCTCAGTCTTTTCAAGCACAGTGACTGGTACACTCATCTAGAGGGCTTCATTAATACCAAGGCAAAGGGCTTTTGGCCTGTGGCACAGGTTTATGATTTCTAGACCTTATCTGTACAATAGAAGTGGAAACCAAAAAACAAACATGCTGAAGTGGCATATTTTTATTGTATTTGGGAACAGGAAATGATTAGCGGCTTTTAACAATTCCCTTTTTGAGGAGGATGGAAAGCGGGAGAAAGTTAAAATACTAGAAGGGAACAAGATCCCAAAGGGAGCAGGGGAAAGCAGCTCTTTATGGCCCTCACTCCATTATTCACAAGAGCTCGTGGAGAACTTACTTTGATATCCAGAGTATTACGGAGCTCTGCGCAAACGGAGGGGAGTCCGGTCTTCAGATGGACTTAAAGTAGGGGAATACATAGAGAAAGACAAAGAGATCCTTTAAGATTATTGATTAATAAGATCTTTATTTAAAATGCAAAGCAAGGAAAAGGGAAAAAATATATAGATAGGATTACATCCTATAACATACAAAGAAATTTCAGCGTGTAGAAGTATCTAGAAAAACTGAAAGGGATATTGGAACAATTAAAGAAAAATCCCATTTGGGGAAACTTCTAGATCTGCAGAGAGACGTGTTGTCCTCTCCCTCTCACTGTCAGACAACTATCATACTATGCCCTTTAGAGACCCACCTTTCAGTGACAGAAAATTACTTCTCTCCCTTTACAGAGAAAAAAGAAATTACACCATCTAAAACTTTTGGTTGTGCAAACCATCTTCTGCATTTGCAGCAGAAATAGCTAATTTTCCTCTTTTAACGTCCATGTTTAGTCTTTCTAAAAGACCAAAATGGTGTAATTCTTTGGGAAAGCAAAGTATGACTCTCTTGTTTTGCAAGCATGACTGTCCAAATCACCCGTGCTTTGGGGGGTAATTTCCTCCCCAGTGACTGCCTACTCATAGAAGGTCGCAAAATTCTTTTTATAGTTGCTGCTCCAGTTACACCCCTTTTGCTGTTTATTATTACAGCCCAGAGCCGTTACCAGAAAAAGTCCCAACTTTTGATAAAAAGAGGCAGATAGTGCAGACTTCAGAAGCACTTCAGAAAAGTGGCCTAGGATACCAGCAGCAGGAGAAATTAATATTCTTAAACAGAAAAGAGAAGAAGGGATTCTCATAAGTAATGAAGATGACAACATGAGAAGAAATGAAGAAAAAAGCAAACAGATGTGAAGTTATAAGGAGAAAAAGTATAGGAACAGAAGCAAGAAAAAGGAAATAAGAGCAGAGGGGAAATAATAGAAAAAAAACTGTGACAGCCAACAAATATTTGGATGCAATCCCTCCCTGTTCAAGCTGAGACCGTAGCTGTGCGACCTTACTAATTCTCCTTTTCCAGCCCTGGCTCTCGCACGCCCTCGGATGTGTCAAAGATGGATTGAGGAGTTACTGGCAGGGCTTTGCAGTTGTTTCTCGGTGACATAATGGAGGAAGGAAAGTTTCATAAATCATCCACGGACATTTAGTGAAGCGGGGCTTTCCCTTCCCACTTTCCTCAGCGATTTCCCCTGTATGCATAGGGGACTGTATACAACTACTATCTTGCTCTCAATTCTTTATCTCCCAGCTAAATGTTATTCTCAGACTTGTAAATAAAAATACATCAAATACATTTGCTATCCTGGTAATGAATGGTATTTATAACCAAGTAACAGATCGCTGAGGAAAGCTACTCCCTTCCTGAATATCCGTTGGAAGAGGGGAGGCAAGGGGAAGAAAAAAGATTCTAGCAAGTTATGGAATAAAATGCACATCCCCACAGGAAGGGAATTACAAACTTACTTAGCATAAATTAGTAAGAACGGTATATGAAATAGTGTTTTAATGCTGTTATGACAAGATAACAGCAGTATATAAAGTTAAAAGAAGCCTATTAGGTGTTGATCAGTTGTGACGTTTCTAGTTAACATGCAAGAGAATATTATTATTGAGCAACACAAGAATGTACTATCCCAGCAAGGACTGAACATTCCTACTAATAGAAGATTTAGTTATTTTGAGTAAGCAGGCTATATACTAGTGTGTTCTAAGTGCAAAAGGCAGTAAAATGCACAAAAGGAAAAAGTAAAATCATAAAGTGTCCTTTCCCATTGATCTCATTAACTTTTTGCTGCTATTATTCACGTTTAGCAAACAGCAACATTCATTCTGCAGGCACTAACCTTGGTTGCCTTGACAAAAGGGGAAGAAAAGAACAAGACAAAAAATGCTGTCACCCAAACTGTTTCCTGTCTGCAAGAACCCTGGGTGGCAATCGCTGCCTTAGAGCATCCGGATGAGCCTCCAATGCCTCTAACTGGTTTTAATTCTGTGTCTAACAGACCATAATGCCAATGCAGTATGAAACCCGGATGGCTTGCGGGCTGGTCAAAGGCCATGCCTACTCTGTCACAGCAGTGGAGGAGGTACGTACTAGTCCTTTCCTCTGGCTATTGGGAGCTGTGGTTTAGACTGGCCTAGCATCATGCGTGTCAGCCAAGCTATGAAGAAATGAGGAAGAAATGAGCAGCTTAGGAAACAAAACTCATACCTAAATAAGGGAAAGCTCTGTGGAAAAGCAAAGCTGTCCAAGAAAAGGATGTTGCAGCATGGCGTGCTTGGGCTAAGGTAACCAGCATGGCCGCAGCTGGCCACCTCCTGTTCTTACAGACTCCCCCCACTCACGTGAAGCAGGCTAGGCGACTGCTGCAGAAAGCACAGTTGCTCAGGGAATTGATGTCAGCAATTTGACAAACAAATTTTCCTTTTGAGCCTACTTTGCATTAAATAACTTAGTTCATCCTTGTTGCTTTCTTTTTCAACTAGACAACATTTAAAGGGGAGAAAATAAGGCTGGTAAGGCTAAGGAACCCCTGGGGACAGGTGGAATGGAACGGACCTTGGAGCGACAAGTGAGTAAAAAGCATGTCTAGGAGCCTGATGTGATTTAAAAAATTGCAGTTTTATTTCCTCTTAAACAGATTGTGTGGGACTCTAACATTTAAGGAAGGGGTATTTGAATAGTTTTTTCTATCATTTTGACACTTTGAAGCTGATAGTATTTAGCGAGCGCTTAGCTGAGCCTGTAAGAAGAACCAAACCCAAACCAACCGATAAAACAAACAAAAGACACCCCCAACTAGAAGAAAATGCTGAGAGGGGCTTTAATCAAGGGAAACAAAGAGAGAACCCAGCCCAATGACACAGTCATATTTTACTGTCCTACAAGTTTTATAATGTTCATTGTCAAGAGAAGGAGTTACAGTGGAAGAATCTTTTATGTAATGGAAAAACTGGAGGAAATGAGATATCAGCACGTAGGTGAGTGTGGATGAAGCTTCTCATCAGGTTTTACTAAAAGGACTTTTGGTAGCTATTCACTTCAGCAATGAGAGTCTGCAAGCACTTTCATCTCCAAGCTAAACAAAATAAACACAACTCAGTAGATTTCAGTGCTGCTAAGAGGAAGCCTGAAGGGAAGGCAAGGAGGAACAGGGCTATTATGTTGGAACCGTTCTCCTTCTGAGCATGTAGAGAGGATAGCATTGAAACACGTTTGCAGAGCTCACAAAAATACAGCAAAATAACTGTTGGCTTTCCACACTGCAAGGCTTACAGTAAAAAAACAGCAATTTTCATGAAAACTAGGTATTTCAAAATATAGTGTAACTTGTTTGGTTTTTTGGTAGATCAGAGGAGTGGAACTTCATTCCTGAAGCAGAGAAAATCCGCTTGCAACACAAGATTGCGGAGGATGGGGAATTCTGGTGAGAATATCTGTTTAAAAACCTTGTGTTTCTCTAGGAGATATGCAATTGTGACTGAAAAGAGTCACGCTGCACCACTTAAATCTGTTAACACTATCGCCATAATCCCTGTTCCCCGTTCCCCTTCATGTTCCCAGTAAGACCCACTCTGCAATACCCTCAATTTTCCACCAGGGTGTATCGAGTCCCACCATCACAGTCCTCCTAATTATCCCACATTTCCACACACGCTCCACCCCCCCTTCCCAAGTACCAGCCTCTCTCTCCAGTGTCCTCCAGTCACCAGCAGGGAGAAAGGCAGCAAGCATCATACCTGGTTTGGAGCTGTACACACGATAATTGCCCAAACACAATAGAAAAATAGTTGAGCTTGCATTGCAAACTTGCTGTAATAGGGGCAGTATGATGTGGGCTGCTCTCCTTCACTCCTTCACTCCTAGCCAGGAACAGTTTGTCTTTCAGACTACTGCCCGCCATTTAAATACACTTGGATTCACTTTCCCCTCAATTCCTCTAGGATATCATTTGAAGATTTCATGAGACACTTCACAAAACTTGAGATCTGTAACCTCACACCTGATACTCTGGAAGCTGATAAACTCCAGACCTGGACCGTGTCAGTCAACGAAGGGCGCTGGGTGAGAGGCTGCTCAGCTGGAGGTTGCCGCAATTATCCAGGTGAGCACCGTAAGGCAGTCCTGACAGAGATAGTTAAAATATTTCATATGTTTCCCCAAGATAGATATCAATTTCACTCTGTACACTAGGTTTCATTTGGGAAACCCCACTTTCTGCGAGCTTTGGGTCCTTTGGAAGTCTATCAGATGCTAATTCACTTTCAGTCCTCCTTATCTACACAGTTGTGTCATGCGTAACAGTTGCTGAACAGCCAAACAGTTTCAGCAGTTGCCCCTAGAGATGGCTGCCTTACAGTATTGGCCAAGGGATTTCCTGAGCCGTCAAGGCACAGAAGGTTTTCTAAATTAGCTTTGACTTGAGTTTTACATTGTTAAAGAAAAGTTTTACAGAAATATATAGGATATAAATCAATAAACTCCCCCCATGTGGTGTTCACAGAGAGAAAAATTAAACAGTTTAAACAAAGGCAAACAGGGAGAGCAAAATATGCTCTGAGAGGAGCAGCTTGACAATGAGGGGATACATAATTCTTCTCAACAAAAATAAGAAAGCTTATTTCCAAAAGGCTGGGAAGCTGTGCTGCAGGGATCAGAGCAGGAAGACATAAGAAAATATACCTCGAGCTGTTAATAAGAGAAATGTATATAACAACTTGCAAAGGAGGTAGAAGAGAATCACATGGTATAATTTCTAACATGGAAGCCAGTTTTTGCATTAGAGGCTAGAACTATGTAAAATATGAACATATAAGAAGATTAACCCAATTTTAACTTTTCCCTCAAGAACAACAGATAGGGAACATTGAAAGTTCTCTTGATAACGAGTACTGTTAGAAAACTGAAGCTTTCCATGTTTGCTTTGGGGCCGTTGGTGGGATTTCCACAGATACATTTTGGACCAATCCCCAGTATCGCTTGAGGCTTCTGGAGGAAGATGATGATCCTGAGGATGAGGAGGTGATCTGCAGCTTTCTTGTAGCACTGATGCAGAAAAACAGGAGAAAAGAACGCAAGCTGGGAGCCAACCTGTACACTATCGGCTTTGCCATCTATGAGGTACTAGCGCTATCCAGGCTCTGTGCTCTGCCCGGTGGTCACAAATCCCAACAGTATGCATTTCCCAGTGACTGAATCAATTCAGCCTGACTACGTGATTGCAATTTTTGCTTTTCAAAGCACTCAAGGGAAAAACCTGGAAGAGGGAAGAGAAATTCCAGGTTTTGTAACCATTTAGCCCATAGTAATCTCAGGATTCATGCCATCTAGAAGCAGCAGGCTTCTATAGTCACTTAATGTCAGATGTTAACATACTCTGTCCCATATATTCTTCAATCAACTGTTCATTCTTGCTGAAGTTAAACGTTGCATTGCCAGAATCATGTAAAACTGGATCTGTTATTGAACAGATGAGGGGGCATTCAAGACAATTTTCAAATATAGTGAGCAACCTCTATCCCTATTTACTTCAAAGAAGTCCATTTGCTTGATTCCTTGCACAAACACGTCTAGCTCTAGTCTTAATGGATCTTATGTAGAATCCAAGAAATCCAGAAAGGAAGGGAGAAGTTGCTTACTATATTTATATAACTTAGGATGTTTTAATTACTTGCTGCATCCCTAGAAGTCTGTGAACACCCTTTTATGTGATCTTTTAAACAAGTGGACTCACCTAGCACCCCTGACTGTTTCTTTTCTTTGTTTCTCCCTAAGGTGCCCAAAGAGGTATGAGCAGAATGGAGGCAGAGTTGACATCTTGATGTATACTCAGATAGTGTTACTGTTGTGCCTGTCTGTAAGTCAGCTGGAAATTGTCCAGTCAAGTTTGTTTTCAGGGATGCAACGCAAATGAAGCTGTTAATCTTTCCTCTTTGAGTGTTTATGAGTAACATTTTGTGAGTTATTTTGAATTCCTTCTCACTCACACCTTATTTTCACCTTCACCTTTTCCTCAATTCTTCTTTTCTATTTTCTATGTGATCTGGACATGGCTTTCAGTCAGTGAGTCTGGACCACAACACACTATATCAGCAATCTCTTAGATGTTACACTCCATATAGAAGAACCCTAGATCAATTCTGTTTCCTCCTGCAAACAATGTCAGTGGCCATACTTTGTGCAGCCATAGAATTTGCTGTCTCTCCATTTTCAGAATTCATTGTCTGTTATTTAACTGTTTTCTCTGGAAAACAGTGATATTTTCAGCTATTGTGATCACAAAGAAAGCACATATTAAATGTACACAATGAAGTTTTTCTGCGCTTGCCAGCAGCTGAACCATTGACACCACAAGTCTTGCAATAAGCTCACATCAAAGCTATGCTACCTGGCAAATGTAAAGATGACAACCTGATTGTTGACTTTATTGACTGTTTTACAGCTGGTTGTTTCTGCAGAAAACGACTAGCAAGTGTTTGTAGCCCACAGTCCCTGACTTGATTTTCGTATTTGAACCAATGCAAAATTTGATGATCATGTATCTGAAGCTGATAGACAGTTCGCATTTTGTCCAGCCAAGGACAAGTCTTCACAGAAAACACCTTCACCTTTCCATGCTATATGTAGGAGCTTGCATATATCATTCCTTGCCACACCACCCTCAAAAGAGAGCAGCTGAACTTTAATCACACACAGTTAGAGAGTCAGATAAAAGCATCTATACCGCAGAAGAGAATTGCCTTTGAATCAGATATGATTTAAGTTTCATTGTTATTGATTTAAAAAATGATAATAATTTTAGTGCTGACAAGAGACAGCCAGCCTGTGAGAGTCTCACTTTACTGGATATATTGCTGAGGCTATAACAGCGCACCAGCACACCTCAACTCTTTCGCAAGGAAAGATCTGCAGGGAGGAGACCGACCCTGCAGAGATGTCCAAGACCACTGTGTCTTAGTGCTGCCTGGTCACTGCGCAGCAGCATCTCAACAATGTGGGCAAACCTGCCAACACACTCCAGGTGGGCCATGGAGTAGCCTTCAGAAGCCAACTGAACCTAGCCAGTAGTGGCTTAAATATGAAAGACTTCATACCAGCTAGCAGTCCCAGTCAGCTCCCTGCATGCTAAGCTACCGTTTCATTTGTCTTCTGTCATGACTATGTGCTGCCTGCATAGGGAACCACCTAGGGAACATGTAAAATTTTGCTGAAGACATTGTTTGACTCATTTGTTCTGCAGATGCATGGTAATAAGCACCACTTGCAAAAGGATTTTTTCCTCTATAATGCCTCCAAAGCTAGAAGTAAGACCTACATAAACATGCGAGAAATCTCTGAGCGCTTCCGGCTACCACCCAGTGAGTACGTTGTCATCCCATCAACGTATGAACCTCACCAGGAGGGAGAATTCATCCTGAGGGTCTTCTCGGAGAAAAGAAGTCTTTCCGAGTAAGTACCAAATCCGTTTGTCTGGCCCAAAACGAGAGGCTGAGCTCACTAGTTTGTTATAGTCATGTCCTAAGTTTGCCTCACAGTGCTCTCATATCTCGTACAGTGTCCTTAACCCCCTTAAGAACCTGAAGCTGCAAACTCATTTCCCTGAGCTTCCCTTAAAGCCTAACAAGAGCATGCTTTGAACTGTCTTTGGAGGAGCTTACCACTTACCCTTTGCAGTTTTTATGATGAAAGTGAAACAGTTTGTTGCTTCTTGCTATATGCCACTGATTGAAGCTTTTGTCAGCCAGATCACTGAATCAGATCTGACTTCAGTCATGAAGGAAACACGCGAATAGGTAGTTATTTCTTTTCTACCCTGCTGTTCTTGTGGGTTTCCAGACCTCAGCAAATTGGCAGCCAGTTTTACATTGCTTAGAGCCAAAGAGCTCCTGTCTTACCGCCAGCTACCACAGTTCAGTGGTGGCAACGCTCCGAAAGGATGCAAACCAGGCAGCAGCATTCTTGGAGGTGATACATGGGATGCTCAGCTCAAAGGGAAAAGCTATGTCTGGAGTTTGCAACAGTAATACTTGACAGCCAACCTAAGCCACTGGCAAGTTCAAGTGGCTGCTTACAAACGAGCTGCAGAAACAAAAGAAAAAAAAAAGGGAACAGCCACTTTCCTGATTCATTTACTTTCTGCCTTCTTCTAGGGAAGTTGAAAACATGATTGAAGCACAACGTCCATCAGTGAGTACTGTCCTATGCCTCTTTTGCATATGAATAGTGGGAGAAGGGGAAGGACTGTCATATCTAGCAAAATCTGTAGCTGGGAACCATTGTAGCCACATGACCATTCCATTATCAAAAATCCCAGTGTTCTCATCAAAACACTTCTACTAATGTTTGGCTTTATATACACTACTTCATGATTCAGACAGACCAAAGTCTTTTATATGGTTTGAAACCTGCTCTTGGTGTAAAGAAGCATTTTTATTGCCTTTGTCCAGTAAGGGTATTCATACTCTGGAGAAGGCCTAGATTTGTGCTCCAGGATTTTTGATTTGTAAAACTGGCATCTCATCTAATAAAAAAGTATCTTATTTTGAACTACATGCTTTCTGGAAAGGAATCCAGATGATAACGTGATTCAGACTAGCATCCATGACAAGCTCTGACTCTTTGGCCAGAGTTTTTACATATCTGTATGAATATATTAGAGCTAGCAGTAGAATTAGTCTTGAAAAAACAGAGGGAATGCTCTTGCACAAAATAGAATACCAGTAAACCTTGCTCAAAGTGCTTCCCTTTCATTTGCTGCCACAGTAACAAAAAAGCTCCCCAGATCTGGTGGAATTTAATTGCCATTTAAAATAACATTGATTCATGGGAACAGAACTTGCATTTCTATGGCCCTGACTGGTTGGGAGAAAGAAGAGTAATACAGCCAAAGCTAGAATAGAGATTTTATTCATGCAGACAAAGCCCCAGATGAAATGGGCCACTGCTTTGATATGGTTCTGCAGTTCCTGTCCTTCAGTATACAATTTATTTGTGGGTGCATTTTCCCCTCTCAATTTTTCAGATTTGAGAACTGTAAGAATATAGATGAACAGGAAAAATAAATTCAAGAAAGGGAAAGAAAAAATAGCACCTATCTTCCTCTGTACGATCTGTATGAAATGTACAATTCTGTTTATAAACACTTTTTTTTAAACTCTTTCTACAGAAAAAGAAAAAGGGCAAGGTGGGTACGTGGGCAACGTGCAGAATGCCAGCAAGGAAAAGAGCATGTGCAATGCATGCAGCAGGAGCTGAGTTCTTTCTTGTCGTTAGTGATTTCTCTGCATCTGGAAACTGATCTAGTTAATGAAGGACACTGGATAAGAGGCTGTTTGCAGGCAGCCAAGATTTTGTCTTCCTACACTTAAAAACTAATGAAATAGCTATAGCATCATGTATTCCTCTCACTCAGAGGAAGAGTAGCAGTGAAACTTTCCAGCTTTATAAGCCTGTCTCTCAACTGCCTGCCCTTTCCGCCCCTCCACAGACACCCAGATATTCTTGTTCCAGTGAAAAGCACCCCTCCTCCAGACCCGTGCCCTCATGTTCCCTTTCCAGTGCCTAATACAGCTACTCCTCTTTCTCAAGGTTTCTGCTCACCAAGACTTGGATTCCCTTTTGCATTCTGTAAAACCCGTTTAGCAACCAGAAAACATACTCCGAGCTTACAAGTAAAATTATTGGCTGGGGGAGGGGGAAGGATACAAAAAAGAGAAATATTCTGAAGATTAATGTGGCTGACTATTTTTGATTCCTCTTTCACATATATCCAAAATTGTCCATGAATTGCATGTGGCACCCTACAGCTGAATGCATCAAGAATCAATACAGAGAAAGACCATAAGCTTTACATAGCTAACAAGCTCCTATAGATATACAATAAACTCATTTTATGTGTAGGATTTGGATTCCGTTTTTCATAAAGTGTTACTATCTTTCATGGAGAAGGGCAAGTTCAGTTTAACTGCGATTCCGAGTGGCTTCCTTTGTTTAAAAAAAAAAATAACAATTTTTTTTAAAAAGCCAAAGGTTATGCAAGGAGTTTTGCAGCTTTCTTTTTAGCATGAGGAAAGCAGTAATTTCAGAGATTCCTCTCTCACATTCCCTGCTGTGGCTTCTTGGGTGCCCTGTCACGGGTGGGAGCTGTTGCAGCATGCGCTTTACCACAGAATGGGTGGCCCAAATACTTTCCCCACTACTTCTTGTGTAATTTCCACTTTTTTCCTTTTGCTCTCTTCCTTCTTCTTCTAGCCTATCATCTTTGTTTCTGACATAGCAAACAGCAATAAGGAGTTGACAGCAGATGAAGACTCCGGCAAAGATGGTGAAAAAAACAGCATAGATGAGAAAAAGGTTCCTGCAGCACCTGGCAAGGCAGAAAATAGAGCATGGTCTGGCTAGCATGAAGGAGTGGCTGGGCAGAGTACAATGGGGCAAAGTATCTTTAGATCCTTAACTGCTTTTCATCAGATCTTAACATAATTTGCATTGCTTTTAGGTGGTCTAACAAGTTTTAGTTTTAGAACAAGATTCTGTTTTAGAACAGAGACTATCCCTTCACTTATTTAATGCCTGCGCTGGAGGATGCTGTTGCTTGAAAACAGCTCCGGGTTGCTCTCGTTTATATCAGTATCCAGGCTGTGGGAGATCTCTTCCCCACCGAGAAGCAAAGTTCAATCCACTGTAGCTCAGCCGCCCCAAAGCGGTACATACTTTACAGACAGCACATGCGCAAGTCATGCAGGAGCAGCTTCAAGAGGCTCCTGGCACTGACCATGGCCTCTCCCCCTCGCACATTATGTGGCCCTGTACCATTCCCTGCTGGCCAGATGGAAAAAGGCTGAGTAGTCCCAGGAGGCCCTGCACTCTACTCTTCTTTCACTCCTAGAGAGGGGGGAAAAAAGCAGGATAGCGAGCTGAGAATTTGTGTCCACAGAAGGCAGAGGAGGGACCAGAGATTCAGCAGCCAGATCCTGAACCCAAGCTCATGGTGTTTGAAGCCATGGCTTATGGGGTCCCTGCTTACAGAGAGCATTGCTGTTTGGCTGCATGACTGCCAGAGCATGTATGTGGTGAAGTGGGAACTACACCTTAACTTTCTATTGAGTTTAGACAAACAAAGATAAAAACTAAGCCAAGAAATTCACTTTATTTTTTGCATGTAATTCCTGTAATTTAACAATATCAGGAAAAAATATATAGTTTTTTTCCAGCACACTTGAGGTATCAGCCTCAGAGTTCAGGCTTGCTCTTTGCATGTGTCCTAGAAAAAGAAAAGCGACAGAAGTGAAGCCATCTTCTGTGATACTTCTCTTAAGAAAGGGACCTCCCACACTAAAAAAGCATTCTCAACTCCGAGTCCTTCTGGTCAGTTCACAGCCTACAGGGCTATGGAGCAGACTCTTCTGCTCCCAACTTCTCCTTTATAGTGTTTCGAAACAAAACATTAGAAGATAAACAACCTGAAGTGAAAGTAATCATTCAGGCTTGTTCCAAGATAAATGAGAGCAATAGGATGAAGTTAAAAACTCAGTAGCTTCCCTGAGGAATACGTTTAACAATTTGCTAGAAAAAGAAAAGGGAAAGGATCATGAGGGCATGTTCCTCTGAAGCTCAGGTTTTGCTAAGAGGTTGTTTCAGAGCAAGGGCAATTGAGTCGTCCAGCCCCTCGGATTCCTTTCTCTTTCCCACTGGGCTAATGTTGTATTTTTTCTTTGCTTGTATCTTTTCAGCGTGCTTCAGCAAAAATTCGCGAAGCAAGTGAAGAGGAAAAACAGTTTCGGAATATTTTCCGGCAGATCGCAGGGGATGTGAGTACTCAACCAATCCCTATCTGTGCCTTCAAATCAGCCTAGCCACAACAGCCATCTCCCGCTTCACAGATTCAAAACACTAAAGTTCTTCACCAAATTTCCTTTGAGATCTCCAGCTCAGCAAAATCAAATCAAAATCCAATTAAGTACACTGCTGTCCTCAGGCACACATGTAACTTCGGAACGACAGCACAGCTGTTCTTTTCACTGTGTGCAAGGAAGCCATATTTAAATTCAGCTTTTTACTCCTATTGCTACTACATGAGGCTATACAGGATTTCTTAAACAATTTTGCATAACATATAAACAAGTTAAAAATAAAATGCTCTCCAGTATATGCTTAATTAGGGAAGTTAGAAGCAAATCAAAGAACAGCATAACTCAAGAGCATAACTCATGTAATGGGATACAGAGACTTTCACATTTGGCTTTTTGACTTAACAGTGACTTGACGTTACTAGTTGTTCTTATAGTTAAATAAACGACATAAAGTAGGTTTGGCAACTTTAATCTTGTTCTCTGAAGACAGATTAATTGACTAATGAAAGCTTAATTAGCTTTACTTGTTATCTGGTTGTTAATTCAGAAGCAGGACGATTGCCCGGACAAAGAACAGACTTGCTCTCTACTCCTACAGAGAGCCATCCCCAGGGCAGAACAATATGGGAAACCAGCACTTCAGATTCTGACTCTATAGCCAAATAATTTGTCACTGCAGTTCCAGAATTCAACTCACTATAAACATTCAAAAAGCAAAGGTGACATAATTCCACCTGTAAAGAAACTCTGAGAAATCAAAAACTAATTTGTGAAGAGGAGGAATTGTTTGTTGAATAATTTTTTAAGTCATGTTGGTGGTGGTTTTTAAGTCACAAGTGTTTACATATCTTCCTCTTACTAATCCTGGGAGCAGGAAGAAAAAAAGTGTTAGACAAGACAGAGGCAAAATATATTAGTACGCATGCAATTAGTCTCTCTACCTGTTCCATCATTCCAGCAGTAAAGGACCTGTACTTAAAAAAAAAAAAAAAAAATCAATGCAAGTCTATCCTAGGAACAGACATTCCTGCACAGTATCTGTTCTGGTCACAAAAAAAAAAAAAAAAAAAAAGGTACACAGAGCTCATGATCTAGCCGTTTCCCTTCTGACTTGCTTTGATTTCCACCTACGCAATGCCACTAACTTCAAGGCAATTACTTCTGATTTTAAGCTTGTAGAAACTTTTCCCCTTATCTGTGAACGTTTGTCAACGAACAAGCCTGACCCTCAGTGCCACCCAAGAAGAAAATAACTTGGACAAAGAGCAAGAAGGAAGGGTTTAAGTCATCTTTCTCAGTTTCTTGCTCTTTATCCAGTTTTGAAATGCCCCAGTCCCAGCCCAATGCTCACAGCAGAGGTGCTCAGAGGAACCTGAGCTCAAGGGTAGGCCATGGATCCCAAGGTAACAGACATATGCAGTAACACATCAGATAAGAGCAAGTTAACACTAAGACAGCAGAACCCTCTAAGTGATGTAGTGGACCACACAAATGGTATACAGTAACTTTTGATCTATCAAAGGTGTAGCTGCAGCCTGGGGAAAGATTTGGGCCAATGTTTATATGAACCTAGACTTCCTTCTAGTTTAAAGCACATGCCAGATTGAAATGTGATCAGATAAAGACCTTGTTCTTTTAGGATATCCGTCCATGAAATGATTTGCTCAGTAACGAATATTGTTGTTAATGGTATTCTCCCCACATTTCTCACCAGGACATGGAGATCAATGCTGAAGAACTCAGGAACGTTCTCAATAACGTTGTAAAAAAACGTGAGTTTCAGCATGGTTTTCAATAACTCTGGACAAAAATCTGTAACACAGAGTATCCCCTTCCCCATCCAAGTGCCATTCTTAAAGTACTTACTCTTCAAGTTCATAAGTTTCCTCATTACACTTCCATGCAATCTCCATCTAAGACTTTAGCAGACTGAATTTTTCATAGAGATGCTCACTATATATAATAAAAGTCTCTACAGTGATGCAGGCTGATAATGCAGAAATGAGCAAAAGCTCGTTGAAAGCACCAAGCAGGATAATATAGCATTCCTAGCAGTCAACAAATACCCTTAAAAAACTCTAATGGAGAGGTGGACTTTTTCCCCCCTGTATAACAAACTTCAGCCAACCGACCCTGGGTTCGCTTAGTTACCTAGAAGTTAGTGTAGAGTATTCTAGAAACGTGCAGACTGAAGTTGTTTAGAGTACGTCAAGAAAGCCTAATTCTCTAATTGACAAGCAAAAACCAAAAGCCTTTCTTGATTTCTCTCACTCATTTCTCGAAAGATGAAGGAAGTGGATTTGCTTCTACTTTGAGTAAAGTCATGCCTAAGAGGAAGAAGCACCTGCTGACTTGCATGACCTGTTCTTACCTGTGATCATTTATTGCAGATAAGGACCTAAAGACAGAAGGATTTGAACTGGAATCCTGTCGCAGCATGATTGCTTTGATGGATGTATCCTTTTCCAGTGAAAGGGGAATGCTTGATACTTAACTCGAGGCCACTTGAGTTTTACTATTCCCCATGTCACTCCAACCCCCACCACTTGTTATTGAGCCATGTCAAATGCAAGTTAGTAACTCAGGGAAGCGAAGCAGTACTTGACATTCTGTAGCCAGATAACACAAAGCGTTTCAGGTTTGGCGCATCTTAATTCCAGTCATCTCAGCATTAGCATAGGTGGCAAATGAAAACATCCCAAAGCAGAGAACTACAGAATAAGTACATCAGTATGATACTCTCCCTTAGGTATCAGTTTATGTACTAAAGCATAAGAAGTCTTTTTTTAAAAGCCTATTCAACATATATAAAGTATTTTGCCAACAAATTTCGTATACTTCTCTCTTACCTTTACATTTATAATGTATTATACATTTCACTGTATAATATGTGCACCCCACGTATATAGAAATTGTCTCAGAGCAAGCGTGGTAAAACACGCTACAAGATGCCACACAGGCTTATCTACAACACCACATCACTCGGCTTTCCTGTTTGACATCACCTATGATTCTGAGAGCACACAAGCAAACATCATCAAAACATCATCAGAACAAAATTTTAACTACAATCTAAAAGCATAATGGTTGGAGCCTAAGTACTTTTTGTAAATGGTTTTAGTCAGTGTTTTGCTTATTTTTGGTTTCACTTTTAGCAAATCAGAAAGAGCTTCACTCTAGGACAAAGCTCAGCTGTCTAAAAAATCTAGGGGAAGCTTCACATTAGGAGGCATTTGAAAGGACTCCACCGGAACATCCTGCTTACATGTACTTTACAATAGCTACAGGAGCAAGCTGCTTTCCTATACTACAGGTTTGCTTCTACACAAGAAAAATAGCACTTTACCCTCCTGTAACAAAATACAATTCAACATCAACAACATGCACAAATTTTTTACTGCACACTTCAGCCAACTCTTAATGCTGAGGAAATCTTGAACTAGGTTTCACATTCATCCCCTCTCACCAGTGGCTGTAGACTTACTAATTCTACTTTATTTTTTTAACCTGAATATTCACACCACAGACAGATGGCTCAGGGAAGATAAACTTTGATGAGTTCCGACATCTCTGGGACAAGATTAAAAGCTGGCAGGTATTGCTGTTTTCAGTGTTGTCCTTCAAAACTTCCATGGTGCAAAAAGCTCACGTAAGAGAAACAAACCTCTAGAAACAAACCTCTCTACATGCACTATAATTCACACCACAGACAGATGGCTCAGGGAAGATAAACTTTGATGAGTTCCGACATCTCTGGGACAAGATTAAAAGCTGGCAGGTATTGCTGTTTTCAGTGTTGTCCTTCAAAACTTCCATGGTGCAAAAAGCTCACGTAAGAGAAACAAACCTCAACACTATAACAAAACAAATGCTCAAAAAATTATAGATCAGCCTTCAAAAATTAATAACTTTCCTCATCCTACTCACAGCCTAAGCAACCCACATCACTGAAGCTCCAACACTAACTAACCCCTAATGTAAGGATTTCCCCCATCAGAACATAATGGATGCACGTGAGATTGAGCAAGAGGGTGATGGGAACTAGATCCAGGCCTCACAAATATCTTAATTAGGACAATCAAGAGAGAGGATTTACAGCCTAAACTCAAGGCAAACAAAGAGGGTCTTTAGGAGAAAGAGTTCTTTGCCTTTCACAGCATAGGACTAAATAATTATACTTTGGGACTGTGCTAACAACTAAGACTGCCCAGCAGGAGTAGAAGGCAGATGACAAGGCCTTCAAGTGCCTAAAGCCTAGAGCATGTATCCCAGTTTTTATTTCTGTTGTACATTTATTTTTCTATTTTTCCAGAAAATTTTCAAGCGTTATGACACGGATCATTCTGGAACGATTAACAGCTATGAGATGCGTAATGCAGTCAAGGACGCAGGTATTACCCCTAGCAGTCAATGCCCAACAGTTGAAGAAAGAGGAAGAAATAGATAAGAGCTGAAATCTCATTTTGGTTGGTGTGTTACAAAGAGGAAACAGGAAAGTCATGCAGCCTTTTAAAGAGAGACCTTAGAGAAATCCCAAAATCCCTCATTTCCCCAACAGATGCTTTCAAATATCCAGAGTGCGAGTATTGTACGCCTACTGACCAAATAATCTCCTCAACTCTTTGCACTTTTTAATGAATAATGCTTTGCCATTGTAAGGTTCTTTCATTCAGGCTCTTGCAAACCTGATGTGACCTCCCTTCTCACCCGCTGTGCTTTACATTCATCCCGCTGCGTAGGTGACACGTTGCAATAGGAAGATATCTGTCTCCCCAGGGCCCCCTCCACCCCGAGGCAGCGGCTGTGACGACGCAGAGCCCCATTCCCAACACACCGTATCAACATGCAGCGGTGGCCTGAGGGAGGGGACAAGCAGCAGCAGGCATTTTGTCTGCCGGCAGCCCTTTTCTAGATGCCGATAGCGTGCACCTGGCTTGGCTGTTTGACAGCACTGACCTGCTTCATATGGCATCGCGTTCTGCTCGTTCTGGCAGGAAAGGCCGGACTGTATGTAGAGGTTGCTATACCATCTCTTTTGGCTCTGACTGCAGAGCAGAACCACATCGCTAGTTGAACTTGCTGCTGCATTGCACTGCCACGCAGTAGCTGGTGGCTGGCTGGGTAGCAAAGACAGTGAGCCACTGTGGTCTCAGTTTCTTCTTCTACCCGTGCAGCAAGAACAAAGACTGTTTTTTTAATAGTTGCAATTAATGAAATTCATCTTGCAAAGAGAGACTGTTAATATTTCTTGCTTCTTCTCTCAAACACAGTGGTGCACTTGTTTCTGTAGACAGCAGGCTTCCCATAGCAAATTTATCACCTCCTGTTTCTTTAAGGGAGCAAGAAGACTTTTTTATTCAGAAGTCAGGAGTTTCACTATAAATTTAAGTGTGATGATTTCAGTGTCCCTGCATCTTCACCAGTATCCTGGTATATCAACAAACAGTTACCAGTAGCAGTTCATCAAGGAGTAGAAACAGATAGCTATATTTTACTTTACAAAAAGTCAGTAACTGTTTTCTGTAACTTCAAATCTGGATTTGGACTCTTGCAACAGGAGAAACATGGGTCATTTTGTATCTTCCAGGTTTTCATTCTCACCAGGAAAGTCAATGTAAAATAATTTATTTAAATACCTCCTGCCCTGAACACATTTTACAATAAAAAGTTCTAAATCCAGTCTCAGTATTACAGCTTAGAGGCCATGCATGACCTTGGTTTTAGCCAACAACCAAGAGTGCCAAAATCATGAAAGACCCTTTAAGAAGTTGGGTGGCATATTACAGCAGTCAGTGCTGTAGTTTGATAACACCAAGCCAAGGAGTTACCCACTTCTCTATTTTTCAGCCACTGCATAACTGTGCATAGCAACTTCATCCCACGTTTCCATCTCCCAGTTTTTGTTTTTTCACTCCTATCAGGCTAACCTAAATTTTAAGCTCTTTGGTGCAGACTCTTCATATTTGCAGTATGAGAAAAGTTATATGCTATTGGAACTCTGAAGTATTAATTTCAAAATGTTTCTTCTGTTTTAAGAAAATAGCCTGACGCAGGGAAGCTCCTTCTAGCTGCACTATTTTGTGGCTGTAGTAGTATTTCATCCCATTTGAGCCTGCCTAGGCTGGGCCTGGGAAGTGCTTGAGGCAGGCCAAACCTCTTCTCCAGGACGTAGTGGCCCAAGCGGTTCTCTGCAGCTGCAGCCCAGCTGTAACTTGTTTCTCATCCTCTGTAGGCTTTCGCCTGAACAACCAGCTCTACGACATCATTACGATGCGCTATGCCGACAAAAACATGAACATTGACTTTGACAGCTTCATCTGCTGCTTTGTGCGACTGGATGCTATGTTCAGTGAGTGGCTATCCCCATTTTACTGCATTTCTCCTCTCTCAGAAATACATTATCCTGCTTGAAGAAAAGTTTTTAAAGTGCTACTGTCTATGTATAGTTTTTAGGTATGTGCTAAAATGTGTGATTTAAGTAATTTAAGGTATGTGCTCAGGGATTCTAAAAATAACAACGATCCCATACAAACCCAAAAGAAAATAAGCCATTGTATTTCTCCAATATTAGCTGAAGAAAAACATAGCAGAAATACTTGGTAACCAAGTAAGTAAATATCTATCTGCACATGTTTGGATGGCACACTGGGAACACAATGTGGTTTGCTATATGGGATCATCTTTACTCTTTGCTAGCACAGTGATTTAATCTATTCCCTGTATTTTTCTTTCCCTGCTTTAGGAGCATTCCATGCCTTTGATAAAGATGGAGATGGAATCATTAAACTCAATGTCTTGGAGGTAAGTAGTCTTATTCCAGTATTTCTAACACATTGTCATGATACTGAATTTTGATCTTATTATTCATTGCACACATCCTTGAGGAAGCCTATGAGAGTTGGTCTGAAATTATCATCCAGTGGGTAAGAGTCCACAAAACCTGCTAAAAATTTTGCTACTGATTTTACACAGAAAACATATGTATACAGGCTCTGCCAGCCACAGCTGCTGTGCAAGACTCCAGCTGGTGCTTAACTACACAACCGGAGGGCAGACAAGTGTCTTTTCATATCGTCTTTAACATGTTTCCAAAACATTTTTGAAAGCTTTTTTTAAGAGGCAATTTAATTAAACATGCTTCATTTTAAACACGTTAACTGATAACGAGGGTCAGTTTAGTTCTTAACTGTTTTTTAATCTTATTCAGAAGACTTGGAAAGTTTAAATTTAAAAGCATGTCTTCTCCTAGGAAGAACACAGAAAAATTACACTCCGTGTTCGCAAAGAAAGAAATTTGAGCAAGAAGCCTTAGACAAAATTCCCTACTGCCAAATGCTTCATACTAAGTTAGGCCTTCCAGCTACAGCCATTAAAGTATTTCAATACTACTGTAGCAAATTCCATACAACAACAAGTAATGTGAGTTAGTTTTAAAGTGTTGTTTCAGATTTATCTTGTGAGAAAATGAGGCAAGAACTCCCTCTGATCTTTAAGTCAAAAATCACCATGACACAAGGTAGTTATAATCCTCCTGTATCGATACCACATCCTAATCACCTGTTCATTTATTTATGGAAGAGGAATGGACCCTGAGAGGATCAGAATCTACTTGGGTGATGGGTGAGCAGCCAAGCAGGCCTTGAAGTAGCATAATTCTGTGGCACAACCTTAAATTCAAATATTATTTGCATGTATATACGTGTGTGTGGAAAGGACACAATAAGAGAGTAGAGCACAGCCATGAAGCAGCAGCCGAGAAATGAATCAAGGGGCATTTAGGAGAGCTAAAGCTGTTCCTCTCTCATTAGTGTGCCACACAGGCAGCACGCTCCAGGTCATGAAAAAGGGGCCAGACTGAACAGCTGCCTGCCCTGCTTCCTTTCCCCTTCTTTGCCCCTACCTCTGTACTGCACTAAGCTCTGTGCCTCAATAAAAACAAGTCTTCTGTTCCCTACTCCTATTCTCTTTATTTTCTTCTAGTGGCTGCAGCTCACGATGTATGCGTAACACCAGAGCCATCTGCCAGCAGCGTTAAGAACACACTCGAGATATCTGCTGAATGTAACTAGCTCCGTTCATCCCCGAGCACAAACAAGAACGCTTCCCCATGCACAGGCTTCGCTTGCTGAGATGAATAGCACAGAGTGCCTTGGAAAAAGAGACAACCGTTCTCCCACAGGGAGACTAGCGTTTGCATTCTGTAACTACTTTGATATCACCTCTCTGGCATTTTACTTTGAGCAACAACAACTTATTTATGACTAAGTTTAACTTCTGCACGGTAAAGTCATGGAGCATGCACCATTATTCTGCTTAGGCTGACAACTAGAAAACTTCCCCAAAGTGCATACAAAGGCAAAGCTGGAACTGTATCTGAACTCTGAAAGCATTTAATACCACCTTGTAATCAATCATCTACTCTTTGTCCTGATATTGGTTCAATCACTGTAGCCTCTTTATAATTTTGACTGAGCATTTCACATGAAGATGTGATAGACCTATATTAATATTATGCATCCCAATCACTTATGTTGTTATAGATGTGGCTATGAGGGTTGGTTTTCTGCTATACTAGAAACTTGGAAGTCGGGCATAAAAGACTGATATCCAGGTACATTTTTAAATCTTGGTCTAGTGCCCTAGCAAGTATTAGAGCTGAGCAATTAGCTCACAGACTTTTAATATCCTAATACTAGCTTAATTACATATTGGATTTTTTTTTTCTAAACTGTAACTGCTTTCTCTCTAAGATAGAGAAACTGATTTGCAATTCCAGAAGGAAAACACGTCTTAGGTATATAAATATACATACACTTTTTTTTCCAGAATCCTATTTCATTGGAATTATTTTGGATGGAATGACTAACAGTTGATGGAGTCTGCTTTAACTTCAGAATATTTTTAGTTATACCCTAGAGTCCTCCACTTTGTACTGGTTATCATTTAAAAGCTCAACTTTTTTGTAGCTCGGTGAAAAGTATGTCACATTAGATCCACTACTTCTAGATTTGGAAGTAGGATTTTATAGTCTTATTAGTTATTTTATAGTCTTCTCAATTTCTATGTTATTAATGTTGGGGATTGTTCTGTTAATGCACAAGTCAATACTGGCTTAAGTTTTCTTTGATAAACCCTTTTTCTCCCCCTGCCTTCCCATTCCCAGCAATGATCTGCAGATCCTCTAGAAGATGCATCTATCCATCTTGTTTGATGACTATCTCCATTACTACCTTGGCTCCCTGGTTTTGATGTACACTGCAAGAGGAGATAAAAAAATACTAATCGCACCTTACCAAAAAATTTTAATGGATCAAATAAATGAAAAATGTACCTGACTGATACAGAGAGCAAATAAGCAACAGGTTTTTGGTACAGGTTATCCACTACAATCATCATTAACAACACACTCAAGATGGGGTATAAAAATATTTCCTGACAATATTGTTATTTCCTTACTGCAAAAAGTGACTTCCACTCTAGACATTAGGAGAATCATAAATACTTTATGGTATCGTGACCATGTGGGGAAGACTATTAGAAGACAGAAATACAATTAATTTTATTTTACTGCAAATAAATCAACTGGGCTTTCTTTTGAAGGAACAGAGGGGAATGAAACAGTGAGCCTTCGCCCAGCACTCTTGAACATAGAGCAGCTTCTGAAGTTCTATAGCAAATATGAAATCAGCTTAAGATCTCAAATACTTGCAAGTTAGTTCTTCGAACGCATTAGAAGTGAGGACTTAAGCTTAGAGGTTCTATTACTATCAGCTTTAAGGATGATAGGATTTCAGAACTGGTCAATCATTATCAATACAAAAAATGGAAGGAAAAATAAAAAGTGCAAAAAAAAAAAGGTTTAAAGCGCTCAGCTTTGTCAGGATAACCTTTCCTTGAGGGGAAAGCCCTTGCCACATGCCTGTGCACACAAAAGAAAACCCATTTTTGCTGAATTCGGTATGTTAAGTGCATTCTTTTTTCTGATCCAATTTTAACTGCTGAAAGGGAGTGAGTCAAATGAAAAGCTCCAATTTTTCTTATCTAAACATATTTTATGAAGGCTTAAAAAATGCAACCTTAAGATTAGAACAGCTGCTTAATAATGACAAGAAAGGACAAACTGTCTCTTAGTTCTCTAGTACTGTGAAGTAAGAAACAATCCACTATTGTAAAGTACAATTGCAAAAAAGAATCTTAATATCCACCGAAGGTTATTCTGGGAAGTAGCACATTTAACTGACGGATTGCTAAGAAAAAATAACTTTTGGCTATAAAGTTCTTACTGTTGTCTTGCACTGTAAGCTACTACTCTTAAAGAGAAAGAAAATGCTATGACTTGTCTAAGTAAAAGTTATTCTCCTTTAAATCCAACTTTTGTTTTAACCAAAATTAAGCTTTCAAGATGACTGGAATACTAAGAGTCCTAGGTTGCAGCCCTGTGTTGTATCCATTAAACTATTATTTTCCACATAAGAAAATACGGTATTGAGATGCTCTTTGTTGAAGCGTTCAGAAAAGAAACAAAATCTAGCAGTCAAAAGATCACAATCAGGATTTTTGATCGGCATCTCAAAACAGGCTCTTGAAGTCCTGGTGAGTGAGCTACTCTCAGTTCTAGAGGGCTTCCCTTTGCAAAGGATCATGAAGCAGGAGGGTCAGGATGTCACTCTGGAGGCACAGCTGGGTGGACGACTTACATTTTCCCCCCTGAACTACCTTGTCTTAGGATCCTGCTCACTGGGAGTAACAGCTTGCAACAGTCCTGCCAGTGTTGGAGGTAGGCCGCTGGAATATACAGCTTCAAAGTGGCCTGTCTGATTTTATCCAGCCCTCTAAAAAAAATATTTAAAAAATCCAGAACATAGTCAAGTTCTACAGAATCCTATTGAAGGATCGTTCTATTCAAAACAAAGAAGAATCAGGCTGACAAACCATATTAAAGAACTTTTATTTTTCTTTTTTCTTTTCTTTTTTTTTTTTTTGCTGCACGAAGTTTTATTATTACGCTCACAGCTTTGTACCAAAATGAAAGAGGAAAACATGGTCAACCTGTGCACATGTTCTACACAGTTTAAATTATTAAATACTCAATCATGTTGTTTTATTCCACTTTCATTCTTCAAAAAGCCTGTTTACCACTTACAGCAAAATGAAACCAAGAAGCTGGCAGGTGCATATAACAAAAACATTACCTATACAAGTTTGCTCTTTACTTTCACTAGGAAATATTTTACAAACAATAGCTGAAACTGTTTCATTATCCTTCCTTACATTTTCTGCAATTCTGGACAACAGACTGTGTGTGATAGTACCATACAAATCCTGAAAACCGGGATTCATCTGTACCTGTGTTTTAATTAAAAGAGGAAACAGCATTTTCTCAATACGACGTTTTTATCCCTGGGAACCTACCATTTATTGCAAGTTAAGAGTTTTCAATTATTGAACATCTTGATCCAGCAATATTAGAGTGTACAGTCTGAAAATGTGCATTTAAAACTGCACTGCTTCAAATACACTGCACAACCAAACCCCTGCTATTTTGTAGTCAACTCACGCTTTGACAATGCATCTTTAAATAATCCGCAATCCACACAAGTTCTGTCCGGCAAACAGAAGCTGGGGCACTTGACGCACCTTCGTACCAAGAGATCTGACAGTTTTCCCTCCGGCCCTTTCCACATACAGACAAGGGGCTGGCGGTCCCTTGTCTACTTCAGAAATACCCCTCGCTGACCAAAAGTCACTAGTGTATATCTGAAGAAGCAGCATTAGGCCACACAGTATTGCACTGTCAGTTAGCTGTTATTTTTCACTGTGATTTGAAGAAAAAAGGAATAAAGCATATAGGCCACTGTTAGCGTTATCCTATGATTCAATACATGTGGAGAAACTGGTGGTAGGGAAGGTTAAGCTTCGTGCCACATAACAGGCTTACGTGGTACTTTTATGCTACTGGGGCCCTCCTCTTTGAGCTTGGATAGGATATGGTATACAGATAACACAATCAGTTCTCACACTTTTGAAGAGAAGCATATAACCAATGTAAGTAACTCAAGGCCCATTCTTTAGATCAAAACAAAGTACAGTAGCTCTGAGCACTTTATATCCTCTAAGGAGGGTCCTAGCTTAATAAACACAATGTCAGTACTGCTGAGAGGAAAATGGTGGCCTGCACCCCACAGGACTGCCATATTTAGTCAGCCATACACTAAGTCCAGAGCTTATTAATTAGCATTTGAATAATTAAAAAAAAATCCCCCAAACCTCAGCTAAACACAAAATAAATCCCCTTCTACTCACTCTTCTACCCACGTTTTACTTGCATAAAGAACAACAACAGTCTTGAATTCAGGCTTCGGATGTGCTGTACTGCTTTTCCTGCAAATATTACTCTCGCCAAGGTTTAGAAATATTCCCCATTCCCAAAGTTATTCCACTCTTTCTTTGACTGGAGGTATCTCAGAAGCCAGAATCCTAAATAAGTTGCAAGACGGGAGAGCATAGCTGATTAATGGCTCTGCAGCTAATACACTAGCTTACCAGCTACTGTCTGCAATTGCCTCTAGAAGAGGCAAACAGCCAGTAAGGAAAGCTGCGTGCAATCCCAGCTGAACAAACAGGAACTGCAAAGAAGTCTAGGGAGTTTCACATCTGCAGGACAGCTTCGTGGCAAATCCTTTCAAGATATCCTCAGGACAACAAAGCAGCACAGCATTTTCCTCTGAACCCCCAAGTAATTTTTACTTATGAAGCAGAATTTTTATACACATCCATCCAGCTCTGCAATTTCCCTGCCTCTTACTCAGTTTAAGATTCTGAGGATATATCTAGTAAGACCTAGCAAATAACAAGACACCACGGCTAAAGCTAAAGCTGGATTTCAGAAGTCCAGCCTTTGGGGGAGGCCTGTTTTCAAGGACAGATAAGGAAATATCTTGGATACCTTGAAATGGACTATACGAAAGGGAAGCCTGCTTATACCAACTACAAAAGATAAACCTAATAAGCGAACAAGAATGCAAATAAAGTGTAATAACTTTATCTGTTGCAACACTTAACGAGAAGGATCTGTACTCATTCCTGAAAACAGTCATCAGCTGAAAGAACATGAAGAACTGCAAGGAAAAAGGAATAAGATCTACCCTCACGCACCAGCTTTCAGAACAACACAAACGCTCCACACGCTTGTTCTCAGAGCACACAGCTGCCCACCCGCGCTTCGTTCACCTCTGCAAAGGACAGCTTGAAAAGTTCACTCTGTTTATCCACGCCTTTACATGCCCCCTCTTTACGGTTCAAAAACTCGCAAATATCAATAGTTTTGGAAATGGTTTATAGGTCTTGCACAGTCTTCTGCGTTTAGGTCATTAAAAAGAAAAAATAAAAAAAGTATTCTGGGTGACCCTAGAGCAATACAGCCTGCCTCAGAAAACAACTACACCGCTCAGCGATCGCCCTGATCTTGATCATCTCTTAAATTGCTTCATCCACAGACCATGGTAAAACAAAATAAAACCAAAAAACAACCCCAAAAAAAGAACAACCCACAAAAAAATAAAACTAAAACTCTCTCACACAAGGTCTGAGTCACATACTGTTTTTCTTTCCTCTACTCCCAAACAGTTTAACAAAAAAACTCCCACAAAATGAAAAAAACACCACAGGAGCTTTGGAACCGCAAGGATTCCTCTGGGTTTGAAGTAGGACGTTATTGTATCTCACTCCTACTTTACCCCTGCCTCTTGAGAAGAAAAGCTATCAAGGTCAAGTAACTGCAGAGAAGTTATACTCCTCAGCCGAGACAGCATACAAACAGCGTGCTTCAGAGAAGGCCCTGAAGTCCTGTTTAGTGGCAGAGCAGAACACCCATGGGCTTCCCTCAGTCACCTTCTTGGCCTAAAAAGGCTTCTTTGTGATCAAAGAACAAGGCTATAAAATGTATGTGGTCTGTGGCTGGCATGTCTGAGCCTCAGGCTCAGCCCCAGCGAAATGAGTACACTCTACTTGCTTGAAAAGCACTGGATTAATTTATAAGCAGCTCAGTTTGGAGGCTGGGTTATCTTTACCTTCTGGATACAGTTTGAAACAACCTCTGCTTTTTTATTCTCAACTGCAGGTTAAGCAAAAGTGAACAAAAAGCTCTTTGCTAAATTAGTCTCATTATTTAAGACAACACCTCAAATGGAAGAAGTATGTTTCACTGTCCTTTTTGGACAAATTAGATTAAGTTTGCCACCCCAAGGGGCAACTGCAGAGGAGCCCAGAGCAGTAGAAACAGTCTTCCCATCTGCAGCAGCTTCTCCGTGGTACGTTATGTGCATTTGTAGAAACAATTCTTTTCCATGTGATGTGCATTTTGTAACCCCAGCTTCTGCTTGAGAACTTTGGACTCTAAAATCCTGCTCCATCACAACAGAAACAAAACACCAAAGTGGATGCACTTAGACACCTCATGCCGTTGCATTTCTAATAGCTTGCTATGCCATGAAGAGACAGGACTACAAGGTCAGTCATTAAGATTCCATACCAGATCTCATTGACAAGATAAACAATTTGACAAGATGAACTACCAAACAAAATCAGGAATCCAACTCGTGTTGTATCAGGATAGCAGTGGTTATGCTGGTATTTGACTGTAAAACAAAAGAGCTGATACTAGTCTCTCCTTTCTTGTACAAAAGTACATATATTTAAAGAGACTAAGATCACTAAGTGGGTTAGTGTAGCCACTCTTCTGGTCGGTTTACTTCTACTGGCACACCTCTTCAAGAAGTGACTGCTTTCCTCTAAAAACACCTTACAAAGTGTAATTTTGAGGGCAGTCTGTATATATTGTGCCAGTTAGCAATTTTTAGACAAGGAATAAAAATAGGCATAAATTACAGTTAACATTAAAAAACAATTAATTTATTCTAGTTCTCCATAAAATACCTTTTCTTTTTATGAAGAAAGCCAAAACATACACTGGATATTCAGGTTACACTTGTCAGAATTTGTGATATTCTACTTGCAGAATTTTATTAAAATTGGCTAAAAAATTGGATACAACATAAAAACAGACATGTCTTAGCTAGACACTTTACAGATTTTAAGGTGAGTTTGCAAACACCAGCAATTATTGTAATCTAAGTTTTCAACACCCCTCTGGACTTCCAAAAGACGCTCAGAATATGCTTCTTTAAAAAAAACAAGGCAGAAGAGGGGGGGATATTCTTATCTGTCAATGAATTAAAAACTTGCAAAAATCTTCCATTTGGGCCAAGTCTTAATAGACTAGCCTTATTTCTACAGAGTGCAATACAACCTGCAGCCTCTGTAGCAAGGCATTTCAGCCCCACTCCCATTTTGCATTCCAAGTTGGAAAAGAAAAGAGGAAAGATTGGAGTAAGAAATGGATGTTATTTGGAATAATTCTGATGTATAAAATTACTTCCCAATGTGGGAGGTGAAAAGCTTCATGAGTCAATCCTGCTGTCATCCTCAGCATGTCTTTCAATGTGTCCTACAGCATCCTAGAAAAGAACAAGAGTAGTCCGTTAAAAACAAAGCAAAAAAAACCCCACCCCTTTGCAAAGGACTCTAGAAACCTCAACGAAAATGGCATTCTGGATAAAACACTCCTAAAAACCCATGCCAAGCTATTAAGTCATATATATAAGAATATCTCACAACATAATCCAAGGCAAATAAGAAGTAGCTCCCTTTCTGACTAGAAGGGTGTATCAGATAAATACATCACATCCAAACCCAGTGCTTAGAAAGAAATTAAAGAGACTACTTCTGCTTTTCAGTTCTCAGAGAAACTGCCCTCCACTGTGTACTTTGAACAGCATTCAACAAGGAGGCAGCTGTTCATATGGCCAAGGGGTAACACGTGGGTTTTACTGAAAAGTATATAGACAGAAACCTTCCCTCCACCCCTCAACTCTTCAATTTTTTTCATTTGTGCTAACATTTACTCAGAAATGTACAGATTATATATATATTAAGCAAAACCAACCCCACGTGAAGAATAAATAACAGCTAGCATCTGCAAAAACGGGAGGGGGAGGCGTGAACAGAAAATTAAGAGGATAAAAAGCTATTTTCAGAAGGATGCCTGCTCATCTTAAAAATAAAATTCTACTACAAAGACTTGAAAAGCTCTAGATTATAGTTACCAGAACTTCTGTTAACATTGCAAAAGGTTAATGACTTCCATATCGGATTTTAAGATCATATTGTTTCAAACTGACCACATCTCAAGCTACCACACTTAGCTGCACTCCTCACATCTCAAGCTACCACACTTAGCTGCACTCCTCATCTGTCACAGGTTGTCCTCTGCTAGCCTTTCCTGACCATAACTATATTCAGTTAAGCCTGTTAAGGCTAGAAGAATGTAACCATCTTAAAGAGATATAGAAGCCAGTCCTACAATTGTGATGACAGTATATATTTTATACCTGGGTTTTTTAACCACAGGTATAAATACAACGACATTACTTCTACCACATACCTGCTTGGAACCTTTCCTGGAAGTAAAGAAAGCATCACAGTTCTTCCAACGACACTTTAGGGTCTGAAAATTTGGATTGGTGTGGTCAGTTAGCAAGTGTTGTTTCAGATGGTCCACAACTCCAAAGATCAGGGAACATCCATGCCACTAGTGGAAAAATCATGCCAACATAAGGCAGAGAGAAAGAATTTCAGCTAATTTTTTTATTCTTGCGACTCAATATTATTCTACCAAGACCGTTCACAAACACTTTCCTCCTGTAGAGTTTTCAACCTCCTCATTCTATCTTCATTCTCAGTGGTCTCTACTACTTTAACTATAGCTTTATAGAGATTTTTTCCTAACTCTAGCCAAGCCTAGACCACCAGAAAAAAAAATGGGAAGAGGAAGAGATGAACTAATTTAAGCTTATCTTAGATGAAGTAATTAGGAATTAAATTAAACTTATTTAGCACAGTAAATCAGCTTTTCTGTGCAACTCAGCCAGAGTTTTTGGCTTTAATAAGTTACATGCCATTAAAACTTTCAGAAAAAAAAATTAAGATGCTCTATTATTGACTTGCCCCAACGCACACACACATACTAAAAGACTCAGAGAAGCAACTAGTTACAGATTTTCAGCTATTTTAAAAAAGATTACTGACGTATAATTAATTAAAAGTTAAGCCATTCAAGACTCTGAACTGTGACCACCACCAGCAGATTAGTCTAAGAACTATAGGAAAGAAAGACTAAAAACACTTTGCTCATTACCCAGCAACGATAATTCTGCATCAGATTAAGCCTCACAGCTCTGACACTACCATCATAGCATCCAGTGTAGATCTGTAAAACAAAAATTTATGAAAAAGGAAGTTGGGAATAACGGAAAAAACAAATAGCATTTTGAAGGAGGTTTAAGGATAGAGTATATTAGAGGAGCAATGCAACACCCAAGGCTTCAAAATTTAAGAACTGGGTCTAAGCTAATTTTTTTTAAGATTTAAATTCATGGTTTACAAAAACCTACCAAGAAACGTTTTCATAACTTCTATCACGGATAGTGTCACATGTGTAAGAGTTTAGAAAACTTTAAAATGTAATGTTACTGTCCACTAAAGCAAAAAACAATCCACCAAAAAAAAATCCACTTAGGTGTAAATGTCAGGTTTTCAGGACTTTACCAGTTAAATATATGGGCAGAAAGGAACACGGGAGGAAGGGCGAGGAAGAACATTAGGATTTCAGAAACAAAGTTGAAACAGACCTCGAGAAGGCAGGCAAAAATGACACTTTAAAAGCTGCCCCCCTCCCTTTTTTTTGGCAAATGCTCTATGCAAAACTGTCCTGTGGAAAAAATGATGTTAGATGCTCACAATCCTACAGAAGTTATTCACTGGAGTAGGGGAAGGTGGGTAGAAGTCTTCCCATAATACAGAAAACTCTGCAAGCTGAAGATCTCACTTGTTATCTATTTCAAATCTTTTCGTCTCTTGGAAATTCATTACCAGGACATAAAAGACTATCTGCTCTGGGTGAGGGAGCACACCTTAACTATTAAAATTACTACAGAAAATTGTTCCCTTCTTCACTAAGCTGCTCAGCCTGGGTGCACTTAGCTTGCCCTCTCACCCACACGAGAGGCGAAGCTAGGACTGTATGTATTCCAGTTAGTAGTGGATCAGCTCTGTTAGACTTGATTCTTTTGTTACTATACATAATTACTGTATGTCTTATTTTACAATCTGAAATAAAGTCTGGGAACATATTCCTGTATATGCAGGCAGCAGTAAGTGTTTTTAGCGGCTATTTTAAGCAAGTAAATATCCAAGAGTGCTTCTGAACCCTGTCTTGCTGATACATGAAGCAATCTGTACACTTGAATCAATTGTATATCTTTGCCTAGCTTCTTTCAAAGTTAACAGAGGTTTGACTGTGGGTGATGTTTTTCTCTAGCATCTATGTGACTGGCTAGCTTTAGTATAAGTTAAACAGGACTGAAACACCTGAAAAGAGGGAATATTTTAGTATTTTTAGACTCTTCAATGCAATCATCCCTGTAAAGAGGACTACAGTTCTAAGATTACAGTAAGTTTTTCCCTAGGCAAGAGTATTATATAAATACAAAGTTGTTATAGCAATTTGTATTTGTGGCTGACATTTTTAAGTTCCTCTGCATAACAAAAGCCAGAGAGCAGGCCGATTTCATTATCTGAAAAAAAACAAAAACAAACCCCCCCCGCCCCAAACCATAATTTTCACAAGCATATGCAAGACAACTTTCTATATGAGACCAACAAAAAGAAGGAAGTTACCATGCTCTTATGGATGGTCATGCACATGATCATATCTGTGTGGCCTCCATAGACTTGCAAGCGGTCATGTGACTTGAAAGAAACAGAAACGGACATTTAATAGCACGATGTTTTACAGATATTTTTCATGGATGTGCAAATGATACAATGCTTCTAAGAGCAGTCGCCTGAACAGTTAACATCCAAACCCCCCAGGGGATTCCAAACTTCACAGTCACTGTGAAAGCTTACCGTTTTGCTTGCATTACTCATATCAGCCTTTTTTTTTTTTTGGGGGGGCCTAACTAAACACTTGGTGTTTCAAGCAAAGAAACCTGACATATCCCCACTTCTCTGCGCTCTCACTATCCCTGGAGAACTTTGGTTCTTGGATGACTCTGGTTTTACCAAATGTTTAGGTCATAGTCTTTAAAACCCACGTTTATTGGCTGTGAAGACGACCATATGTTCTGAGCGACAGGAAAGAGAAGGATGGGCCAGAGACCAATAAACACTTCTATTTGACTCTGGAACCACTAATGACATTAACACATATTAAGGTAAATTTCATTAATAATCCTCTATTTTCTTACCTGTAGTTCATAAACACGAACAAATTTATCTAGGCAGGCGGTCACCATCACTTTCCCCAGAATGTTCACAACCGTTACTGCGTGATTATGGCCTTTATAAATCCGTACCAGCTCTCCAGTCTGGGCCAAGACAAAGCAAAAGCAAATAACATTTTTTTCCCCCCTCCCCTGCTCCTTCTTTAAACTTAATGTTAGTCTCACCTAGATAGGGTAGCTAGTTCCAACCCTCAGCACTCACAGAATAGAAGCACTCTCTATTAGGCTTCCATTTCACGTTAAGGTACTTTTAAGAATCACAGAATGGCCAAGGTTCGAAGGGACCTCTGGAGATCATCTAGTCCAACCTCCTAGCTCAAGCAGGGTCGCCTAGAGCACGTTGCCCAGGATCACATCCAGACGGGTTTTGAATATTTCCAGCGAAGGAGACTCCACTACTTCTCTGGGCAACCTGTGCCAGTGCTCAGTCACCCTCACAGGGAAGAAGTTTTTCCTCAGGTTCAGATGGAACTGCCTGTGGTTCAGTTTCTGCCCGTTGCCTCTTGTCCTATCGCTGGGCACCACGGAGAAGAGACTGGCCTCATCCTCTTGACACCCTCCCTTCAGATACTGATACACATTAGTCAGATCTCCCCTCAGTCTTCTCTTCTCCAGACTGAAGAGGCCCAGTTCTCTCAACCTTTCTTCAGAGGAGAGATGCTCCAGTCCCCTCCTCATCTTTGCAGCCCTCCACTGGACTCTCTCCAGTAGTGCCATGTCTCTCTTGTACTGGGGAGCCCAGCACTGGACACAGTACTCCAGGTGAGGCCTCATTAGGGCTGAGGAGAGGGGGAGAATCACCTTCCTCAACACTCTTCCTAATGCAGGTTATGATCATATACTACTTAGCCTTTTCTTTGCTCAAGCTAAACCACACAGCTGTTCCAGTCCAATAGTAACACACGCCACTATCGAAAAGAGTACTTCCCCTCTTTCCACCATTAGCTCCGTGTTCCCATCCGTCCTGCACTAGTACTGTGCCAAAATTAGTATTTATGCAGCCATAAGAAGCAGGATCAGGGAAAAAAAATTAGTCTAAATACAGAGAAATATGCAACCTTTTTTGTCAATTGAATTTTAAGTCTGAGAAGCTTCTTAATTTAGCTCACTGCATAACCACATGGATGCTTGTGCTAACACACAGGAAAGATGGGCTAAAAGACTAAGGGAATGCCCAGCTGGAGACAAAGCGTTCATGTGTATTACAATGATTTTAGAATCACCTTGTTTGAAACACTGTGTTCCTCCAGTTTTTCCTATTGGAAAAAAAAAAAAAAAAACACCTCTTCCCCCAGGCAGAAAAATCGCTCTCATGGCCTTGCTCTGAATCCTTTGCAGATTTGCAGCACCTTTGAAGCAACTGGCAAAAGCAAGACTCCCAGATAAGAAGGTGTTACATATATTGCAAGAGTCATTATGTTTAACGGGTATGTTTCCCTAGGTGTTTTACCCCCTGCGCCCCTCTGCTTAGTTAGCTATAGGGCATAGTCACATTAACACAGCCATGCTGCTTCCCTTTTTGGAAGCTAGTTCGTCCCAACAATCAGTGTAGAATTTTGGAAATACTGACTTTATAGGACAGGATTTCATTGTCTTAACAGCAAAAGCCATTTTAACTTTATATATGACTTACATGAATGTTGTGAGCATGGACAGATTGATCACTGGAGCCACTGAATACCAGATCATTCACAACCTTACCAAAAAAAAAAGAAAGTTTAATTTCTATAACAGATAAGGAAATGAATAAGTGAAGCATTCCGACATGGTTCAGTTCAAACTTTCACTGCAGCGTTTCCTCTGACGGTCTTAAAAATCAACGGAGAGTATTAAAGAAAAAAAAGAGTATGCACTGAATTCTTTATGCAAGGGCTAGAAAATGTTTTAAGCTACCCTAATGACAGCTTTTGACACTTCACAATTGACATTAGAAGCTGCTAACACACAGCTCACCAGGCCAACCCAACCTACCCAGGGCCCGCTCACAGGGACAACTGAGCAGCAGACTGGGGGTCAATCGAACTGAATGCAGAATGCTTCACTGCACGTGCCCAATACTGCTCAATGCTTCCTGGAAATACTGGATTTGCTGCGCACTTATCCTGTGGTCACACACCAAGGACAGCGCTCCTACCAAGTACTAACCTAGAAAGGAAGATCCATCATGGATCAAGAAGGGACTTCTGTAAACCACCATAAAAGCTGAACTAGGATGGACAGTCTGTAGGGCTAAAAAGGCTGTACCACCACTCCCTAATCTAAGGCGACAGATACAATTTCGGAAAGACTCATCTCCTATCTCTGGGTGACAGTGTTCACAGCAAAGCACTCAGGCAAGCACATATACCAGCTTGTAATCTCAGAAGCCAGAAACTGAAAAGGAGAAAAACCAATCAGCTATCTACTAAAACCTTTCACTTCAGGATTAAGTTAGCCACAAAACAGTATGTGGAAAACAGCTCGCTCCGCAAGTCCCCCCAATGCCTATTGGGCATTTCCTAGAAATGCGAAATATTAACATTTAAAGTTACATCATTCTGTCTCCACATGCAATCAGATAGAAACAACAAAAATAAAAAAGGCAAAACAGCAGTGAAACATAGCACTTCAGAGACAACACGCATCTAGTTACCACAATCCAGCACTATGAACGTGCCTAGACACTACATATTACGTCAGTTTGACCAAACAGAAATCATAGCACAGTCCCTAAATATCATAATATATACAATAATTATATATTAACAGCATAATTGATATAAAAGACTATTTAGAACAGAATACATACTGATTTTTCTATTAAAAAGGAAGAATACCTTTCTAGAGCCACATTTTCCCAATTTCCGCAGAGATTTGTATAATGAGGGCATGTGAAAGCCAGCTTCCCTTTTTCCCCAACTTTTCCCTCCAGCCCCCATTTTGGCAAACTCATTTTCCAAGACTCCCTGAAGCTTCTAGTAACTTGAATTAAACACGCCTCCCACGTACGCCAACATCAGCGGTTTTGCTGGGAACATCAGATATGTCAGCAAGACAGAGACAATTTTCCTATCAAATTACTCAGTTTTTATAATTTAAAATAGGGAAGCGACCATTCCCTACCCAATCTACTGAATATTAGATGAGAAAGGAGGGAAAAAAAAAAAAGGGAAAAAGATCACTGTTTTAAGCATTCTTTTCTTTTCCAAAAACGTATTTTGACAGACACTTGCCTTCATGCAGAGTATCGTCTTGCTGTGACCCTCGAGCGTTCTGAGGAGCAGCCCGTTCCGAGCATCTCGCACGCTGATGGTGCAGTCGTAGGAGCCCACTACCAACAACTTGCGTGCTCCTTCCTGAGCTGTGGCTAGACAACTCACTGCTCTAGGGCCATGGCATTCAAAGGTATCAACTTGCTTGTTGTTCTATTGGAGGCAGGGGAGAAAGAATTTTAAGAATTAAAATTTTGTTACTGACAACATGACTAGACAACTGAGTCCTTTTTGTGCTGTACTTGGTATAGCATCTGAGGAGCACTTGATAGAGCATCTGATTTCAGCTTAGTAACACACAATTTCAGTAGTGGGCAAGAGTTACCTCTAAACAAGTAAGTTTCCAAATCAATAAAACAATTTGTTATTCTGGACTTGGATTTTCTGTCTTAAAAAAACAACTTAACCATTTAGCAATGGTCCATTAAACCCTCCCTAAGAGTTAGGGTAAAGAGAAGAAATAGCACCAGCTCTGCAGTGATTAGGGAGAAGAATGCATACAGGTACACACGCATTTCTCTTCTCTCTTCCTCGAGAAAAGTCAATGCAGCTGGGATAGTTCATAATACTTCAGCAGCAAATACTTTTATAGTAAGAAAGATTTTCCCCACCACAGATTTAAGGTAAAGGTTATGTGAAAATAACTTCAGATTTTCACCAAGATGCTATCGCTCAAGTCAAAATAACTTGAGAGAACCATAAGATGTGGCTTTTTTTTTTTTTTTTGTCAAGGATAAATTTGAGAAATTCATCTAGGATATATACAGAAGAATAATCATAATAACAATTTAAATGAACATTTTTTTCCTCCTTTTAAATATCATGTGGACTGCCAATTAAGACTTTGTCAGAAAACTATGTGAACGAGCCTCTTCTATAATTCCAAATGGAGCAGGCAAGAACAGCAATGCATTAAAGTTTCTCACACTGCAGGGGAAAAAGAAAAAAAAAAGTATTCACAAGCAGTCATCCCTGTCAGTAAACCTCTCATGACGCATGACTGATAGGCCAGACAGAAAATTAAAATCGGCAGGAAAATTGTGACAATAACTTAGCAATTAAGAGAGAGGCAAATGGATGGAAGCGGAGATGAATAGCGTCATACACTGACAAGAAGAAGATAAATAGAAGTGACCTTGTACTTATGCCAAAATTCTTTAATTACAAATATACTTATTACTCAAGCGAAACAATGGAAAGAAGCAAAGCAGGAGAGAGAAACAGCATTGCAGCAAGCTTTTAGGTGCCAATATTTGAACAAGCTAACCTTTATGCTGAAAGTAACCACGCTGCCATTTGCAAGCCCTGCATAAAGGATCCGCCATCTACTGTGTAAACAGAGCACTCGATCTTCCAATTTAAACTGTTCCATGCATTCTTTGGTCTGGCAGAAGAAAGAAATATTTAAAACATTTCATTAACTGAAAACAATTCAGGGAAAAGACCCAGAAATGAATGATGTTTTTCAACTAAAGGCTTCATTTCTGGAACTAAAACAGAGCTGGAGGAAAAAAACCTCAGAAGGTCTAGTGCCACACGGCAGTTTGATCCTAGTTTTAACCAGCCCACTCCAATCTTTGATAATTGACAGTATCTCAGCAACCAATTAGAAACCAGAAAAGCCTTCTTCTAGTACCAACCCCTAACGTATATAGAAATTTACCTTACAAAGTGCATATATGAAAAGTGTTGTTAAGCGTTTGAGTTCACGGAACACCTTTGAAATCCCCTACAGGGAAGTGCCATGAATCACTAACTTAATAGCGCAAGGATCAGAAGCCTTTGACAATTTGCCCCCTGAAGCAGATATTTTCTTTTTAGACCTTCAAGAGGTATGTTGGAAAAGCCTTCTTATCTTCAAAAAGTCAAACTTCAGAAAGTCTGACTGCTGCATTCCACCCGCCCTCAGAATATTAGATACTTGTTCTCCTCTCAGCAGCTGACCTACAGAGAGAACTGCGCCCTCCATAAACAATGGAGAAAGCTAAATATATAGTCAGTCAACTTCAATATTGACAGCCAGGCAACTTTCCAGCACTTCAGAGTTCCCAATATTCAGCTAGTCCCTGTCACGCTACTCTGGCAAAAACTCTGCTGACTTTAACTAGCCAAAAGATTAGGGCAGTAAATCACTTAATGGTTGGCTTGGGTTTTTGTTTTGTTTTGTTTTTTTATCTTCCTCTTCCCTCCTCCAGCCTCACTAGGTATGAACTGGGGCTTGTATCCAGTTCACAGAAGTTTAAAAGGCTTATTTATTTTACATTTGCAAAGTCCACACACAGAATCACACAGGATGGCGAGTTTGGAACAGACCTCTGGATCATCTAGTCCAACCCCCTGCTCAAGCAGGGTCACCTACAGCACGTTGCCCAAGACCCTATCCCTTGACACATTCACTGAAAAAACAAACAGATGTTAGTCACAGTTCAAATACCTTGATATTGTAACAATTGATAGTGTGGTCACTTGAGCCAGTGTAGAGCGCAGCATTCTTCCCATTTGTCTGAGTGACTAGGAGGCAGTTCACTTTTGAAGTGTGTCCTTCAAAGATGGCTACACACTTTCTGCTCTAAAAAACAAAGCACAGGGTCTGTTAACATATTTGTCCATAATGCATCTTGGGATCTGTGCCTGATGGAGTAAGGTGGGACAGCTAACAAAAACAGCAGGACCCATGCAGCAATCTTCTCTTACCTCCCTCATAGCAGGAAAGAATGGGGGTGGGAGGAAAAAAGGTTTGAACAAGACACAGGATAATAAAACCTTAAGCCCATAAAAAGCAGCTACTTCCTTAACTACACAGAGTAAGTCTTTAAAAAAAAAAAAAAAGTCACCTTGTGACTGCAATTACTATTACGCCATTGCCTCAGCCTTACTTACAACCAGATTGTAGGCACAAACAGTTTTGTCTGCTGAACAGGTGTATAACAAATTCCCAAAAATCTGAATAGCATTCACTGCAGCCAGATGTCCTTCAAAGTTCCCCTCTGTAGGTTCTTCATCCTCACCTGGCTCTGAAGACGCTTCTGTAGAAGAGAGAGACATACGTACTTTGACTATGTGAATACAACCATGCAAATATTCTACTGCTTTTTGTATTACCAAATAGCAGAACTATTATGCGGGCTCAGCATCTATAAAATCAGATTTCACTGAAGTTCTCAGCTGGAGCCTATAAGTGGCAGAGGATGACATAAAATGCCAGGAAGACCCTTGGACAGTGTTAAGCCCAGAAAGATCTTGAACATCGCAAAAAGATTGTATTATTTGTTGTTTTATCCCACAACTTTACAGAGTCTGTGGAGCAGAAGAGGGGAGAGGGGACAAGGGGTGCAGAGGAGTCAAGGCATGAAACATCTAAAGAGGAATAACACAAGCAAGGAGTATGTATGTCTTTCCACTTGATTTTTAGTGCAGATTTTTATCTTCAGGACAAAATTCCTCTAGTAGTTTGATTTAGATTTAACTCAAATTCTTGCAAAATACCATATGCACTTGAAGCAAAGTAAAAGGAAAAAAAAAAAAAAGCTTAGAAGATATACCTGAAGAGTTCTTTGATCCTCTTAGTGATGATATGGAAGTCTGTGTCTCAGCCACACTGTAACAGAAAAATAAGCAGCAGTGAGACTGGACTTTTCACGCATGGGTTCAAAGTACTGATGTAAGTGATACTCCAGAATACAAGACTCTGCATTAAGTAGAATAGGTCTGTAACAGATAAGCTCAAAAAGTTTCCACGGAAGATGGCCTTTTTCTAATTATTATAGAAATTAGTAGGTAACAATACACATTAGTTCAAAGAAGCAAATTCAATTTGTGACATGTAGACAGACACTCTCCCCCCTCTCATTTCAGTGCTAAAATTCCTGAAAGGAATAACAAGTTACACATGTTGCAAAGTTTTGTGATAGAGACAGAAAAATAAGAGGCCTCTTACAAATAGTTTAATACTTTTGCTTTTGAAAGATCTACTGTACTCTCACCTTTTTTTCACATCTTCCCTATAATTCGTACCAATCTCACTGGTGGAGCTGACTTCATCATAACCAGAGCAAGATGCCTCTAGGACTCCTTGGTCAATGGAGCTGCATGAATCCCTCTTGGATGGGCTGTCTGGTTTCTCATCACCCGACTCCGATGAACCAATGTCAACCACCTCATACTGAGGGGTTGCAATTTCCACTAGTTCCAGAGAAGTATCACTGCCATTCTCATCTTTGTTTCTTGCTGTCTGCATAGTAGTACCTCCATCCTCCTGTCTTGGAGGAGTGGATGTAGTAACCTTTTCTCCTTTAGGGAACTTTCCACTCTTGACTTTCCTGATGGGCTTTGAGTCAATTATGTCCTGTTCTGTATCACTGTTCTCCGGCACATGGACTGCCCTCAGAGTTTTCTTCTTCCTTAACTTTCTCCTCCTCCTGTTCCCTTTTTCTGTTGGGATTAGAGTGGTTGCTGTCTGTTGTTCACACAGTTCTGCTGTCAACTTGGGGTTTTTATCCATTGGCATTTCTGGAAGGACTGAATGATTTGGCTGAGAAGTGCTACACTGGTCTGGCAAAAAGCTTTCAGTCACTGTTTCATTTGCTTCCCTCTTGCTAAAACCAGATGGTGAATGAGAAGGAGAAGGGTTCTTAGCAAGTCCGGCCTTTCCCCTCTCCGCAGCAGGCTTGTGAACATCTTGATTAGCGTGTTGGAAACAAGCTGTCAGCTCTGATAGCGATACGGTTGCAGAGACAACTGGACACACTGAAGTCTTCTGGCTGATCTCTTCTAAAGAAAAGACAATAGTGTTATACCCAATCTTTATAGAGACGAACATCTGTGCAAAAATCGCTTTCCTTGCAATTTTTTGTTTATATTCAAATACAGATGCAAAGGATGTGCTCCTATATGTTGGACATTTATGTGCACATACAGATGTTCTGTGTTTCAGTCAGCTATTCAGCCTTTAAAAAAAAGGTAATGGGGGAAGAAAAGGTTTTATCTGTGTACCCAGAAGCAAAGGAATGTGGCACATAACTCAAGCTACCGGCTGAACCGTATGCTTTCAAAGCTCTGACAGAAAACCTCTGATAAATCCTGTACTGTTGTCTTAAGACGCTACTACCATTTGTGTGCTCCCTTACCAACAGTCACCATTACAGCAGAACACTGGTAGGAACCGAATGCATGCTCAGTATGCCTCAGCTGCTCAGTGACATAACTTGAAGACCTTGTGCTTAACCCATCTACATTAGCTCTTTCTACCAAGCTGTCCAGACCTAAGTCAGGATAGATGAGGCACACAAATCCCATTCCAGCCACTCGGTGACACCGTACTTCTATCTTGGGAGTGGTAGCACCTTAAGCCATCAGAGCAAGCTTTATAGTCCGGGTGAACATACTGCCCCTGTCATTTTAATTTGAAGCCAATACGAATAAAGGGATCCAGCCTCACAACTGAGACAGGCTGTGAGTGCAGGCAGTGTCTCACAGTTGTGTTTCCCATACCCTAGAAGAAGTTACATTTGCAGCAACTGCCGTCCAGACCAGAATGTTTCAAGTTCACTGCATACATCAGGTGGGATTCCTTAACACAAATGGCAAGCTAGCTGTATTTGAAACACATTTCTCTGCTCCAGTCTCTTAGAAACAGGCAAATAAAACCTACAGCAATGCCTTGACAAAGCTATTGGAGTCTTCAAAACACCGCAGTATATATTTGATGCTTCAAAATTGCCCACTGAACTAGAGATAGCTTAAATGTGCTAAACATCTCATCCCACACTTTCCTCAGATGGGAAGTTCCAAGATAGAACTAAAATCCACTGAAAGCATGAGGTGAATCATATTTAAACTGAATCAACGGAAAAATGTTTTTTTCCCCCCCAAGCCATATAACCGGAATGCAGCTGCAACCTGTTAGGAAGCCCTGTGTACAGAACAAATGAATGTTTAGATGAGGTGTAAACAGTTACCACATTGAGTTACAGTAGAAAGAAGACATACAAACCCTTAAACTCTGAATACATCTCTAACATCTCTTACCCCTCATCTCCCTCAAGATGGGGGAGGGAAGAAGGGAAGTCTCTTAAAAACAGAGCAAGAAGGTAATAGTGACTAGCGTCTTCTAAAAACTAGAAGCGGGTAATTCTCAGTATTCAGCAAGAGCTGCATGTATCTAAAGAAAGGAAACAAGAGGAGATTGAGAAGACAGTGTCTACCGCTGCAAGAAAACAAAACCGTCCAGTCCCCTCATTGGGGAAGCTTGCTGGTAGTTAGAGGAGAAAGCAAAAGCAACCAGCTCATTCACGTGAAGGCTGAGCTGGCTTCCCAAGGAAGCCAACAGCGCAGGTACTGAGTCTCCGGAAAGTGGGTACTACACCCACAGAGAATTCCTCTCCCCTAAAGTACTGAACTCGTTTGATGGCAAACGCTCATTTTCCCAAATTAACAAATTCATTTGATGGCAGATGCTCATTTTAAATGCAGCACATACAAAGGCTGATCAATACTGCAAACAAAAATCACTTCATAAGCAAACATCAAAAGAAGATTCTTTTGGTAATTTGTGTTTATGTAATAAATACAGCTAAACTATGAATTACAGAGCCATCCTTATACGTAAAGCAAAAGAAGTTCAGCTTCAGTTGTGCTAGCAAAGAGATGTCAGTATAGCTAAGTCTAAAGATTCTGTAAGCAAGACACTATGCCATTGCAGCTATGATCGCTCAATCTTTATTTTGAATTTTCCAACTCTGTAACATTAGTTCTTGAGCAAAATGAGTCCTCTCCACTATGTTCTTAAAAAACAAGAGCAAAACCAAACAACATAATGGCATATGCCAACAAAAATGGAACAGAGAAGGAAAGGTAGTAGTTCCTTTCCAGCTAAGTCTTAACAAAGTGAACAAATACAAAACTCAAAATATTTTACACTGAGTATACTTTCTTGTATACCCCTCAGCTTCAATATACCTACCCAATACTCCAAAAAGAGATTAAACAAAATTCACAATACTACATGAATGTAATATGGTGGAATACAAGAAATTCAACTATTGTTACAAAAAAAAAAATTCTATCAAAAGAGCACTATTTACACAGAATTCTACATCTAAAAAAAAATGCAAAACGATATTAAAAAAAAATCAAGTTCTTGTATTTACAGAATTCCAAGCTTAAGTTGCCAACACTTATTTTATGCTTGAGAAAAAAATATGCTTATAAAAGTGGAACAGTATTGCTTTTTCCAAAACTATTTTTCACATTAACTGAGGGGAAAAAAAAAATACCATGTTGGCTACACTTAACAATGATCTGACTTAGATAATTTGGGATAAAGTTTTGTAAGTTGCAAGGGTTACGGGTAAGTGGAAAAGTTAACATTTGCCATTAGAGTCATCCTACTTGACTTTACAGGCTCTTAAGAAAGTAAAGCGTGTTTGAGCTTCCAATCTTGAGTTTGTATGTTCAGTCACAATAGCAAGTTTCAGTGAAAAGTATCCACAGTATTTAGGCCTTTGACCACATGAGTACATGAGTTTTGGAGGTTTTATAGAATGTTAAAATAAAGACTTAGCAATTTTAGCTATAGCCATTAAGACTTCATTTTTATGAAACAGAAGCTCTCACATTCAGTAAGAGTAATTCAGTAGTTCCTCCTCCAGACAGAACTGAGCACATACCTCTATTGGCAGGCCACAAGAGAAAAAGAATTATATATATTTGTTACACACACATATATATGTCAGTGAACAGAGCTCAATATCCTTCTTACAGTAAGTCATTTACTGAAATGGTAATTCAAATGATCTTTGAATATGGTTATTAAATCTTTCCAACAACTCCAGACCAATGGGATTTGGGGAGGGGAAGACAGGGAGAAGATGATGGAGAGTAATTTTGGATGCCACAAAAATTGCTTTGTCCAGTAAGGCCAAATAAGGAACCAGAATCTCCTTGATATAGGTGCTCAAAATTTTTTCAAAAGACCTTCAAGCATGTGTTTTCCCTTTGTAGGTAGATTTTAATCTACCAATGCTCACTGCAACGATACAGAGTAGGAGACAAAAATTAGAGGGTTTTCTAAGGCTTTTTTTTGTTAAATACATTATTTAGGGTTGGGTTTTTTTGGAGAGGATATATCATGAAAATTCATGTTTGTTTCATTTTTAAATTAAAATTAAAAACCTCTAGCTGCATATATGACCTTTCATTTAGATGTGTTCAGTAAGTTTAAAAAAAGAAAAAAGGTGAAACTCATTTGGGTTTGTTATAAAGAAGGTCCCAATTTCCAAGCCTATAGAGCTGACAAAGTTGTACTCAAGACTGTGGGAGTTCACCCCTACACCATAGACTGCAGGCTTAAGACCCAGCTTACAGGAAAACTATTCTTTCAGGAAAACTATTTTCCTCATTTCCTTAAAGCTAGCTTCTCTCAAAACAAAGAGAGACCAAACATACCATCCTTCCGCTCCACCATTTCTGCTTGTGAAGCACATGAAGAGGTCTGGAGCACAGAATTCACATTTTCTTCTGAAATTTTTGGAGAGACAGGCTCTCGTTTAACTTGCACAGAGGAGTCAGGAGGAGTGGTGGGTGTAATGCTAGCAGACGACTGGAATGGCAATGATGAGTTTACATGGACAGACGCTCCCAATGGAGGTGCAGAAGGAGACAAAGTGTCCAAAAGAGGCAAGAAGGAGCCTGCCGGAATTACGTCAGTTGCCATCTGAGATTTGCTATTTCTTCTTTCAGTTGAGACGCTGCAGGGAAGTTGCTCCAACTGTTCAGAAGGGTCAAGTGTTTCTAATGGCAAAAAGAGGAGAGGAAAACAAAACAAATATACGCTCCTATTTTACAAAACTTTGCAGTAAAGTTTAGTGGTGCCAAGAACTCACTTCCAGCACGCAGGCAGACAAGGAAGAGAAAAAATTGCAAAAAACTCAAACCAAAACAAAAAACCCACCACCAGATGGCATTATCAAAAGCTAGATCACACCTGAACAAGACTGACTCAAATATGGCAAGCCTGCAATTTTATTCCACATTTTAAATGAGTGCATTCAAGCTAAAAGCATTTTATAAGACACTGAGTTCAGAGAATAAGAGTTAGCATTCACCTGCTGCAGTTGCATGGCTTCTCATACCTTGTAGCCCCTGCAAGATCTGGATTCTCTGACTTCTTAGTGCACTCATTTCCATGGTGATCTGCAACACAGCAGTGGTTTAAATCAGTCCTAATTAAGGCACTTTCCGATGCTGCTCACCTCTAACTCGGAGGACCTCTTACCTGTTGCTTTAATACAAGGAACCGTTGAACTTCAACATATGCTGCCTGTAGGGCAGCCCTAGCCTGCAAGAGGCTGCTGTCCACGCTGTGCAGGGATTTGCTTAACTCTTCTTCCCTCAGTGAGATAGCCAACAACTGGTCTACCTGCGAACGTTCTGGGAAACAAACGGAGAGCATAACTGCACTTGACAACACGTTAAAACACATCACATGCGATGACAGCTCAATAAATACTGTCACCTCTGAATGCAGAAACATGTAAATTAGATCAAGCATCAATAGTCGTACAAAAGGTTGAGAAAGAATACCTATGCACAGGAAAACTCGCATGCTACCTGAAATAGGAGAAAAGAGTCAAGCACTCTCCTTATACGATTTCCAACTAGACTCTACAGTAAATTTTTTAAATTATAGCTTTGCTAGCAGTGATTTAATTAAGTTGAACCAAAAGAAAAGTCATTCTCTTCCAAAGACCTTTTGTCAACATATTTATGTACATAGCATACAAATACTTCCCAGTAATGTAATCAAAAAGGCAAACTTACACTAAACAAGATTTAAATTATTCAGTTAATTCAGAGGCCATTTCTTCCCTATTGAAGAGTAGTCTCCATAAAAGATCACGAAGGTCACAAAGACAGAGGCTGATAAAATGAAAACACAACCACCCCCCCACCAAAAAAAAAAACAAAACAAAAGAAAAACACCTTTTCAGGCAGCAAAATATTAGATATTAGTTCCCACAAGAAGATCCATATTAATTGTTCTGTATTCCAAACATCTCTTAAGGAATGGGTGGATGGGGAGAGAAACGAAGTATCTGAAAATGACCTTCCGGGCCCCAAACAAAACACAGATGGTTCATTTTGATCTGCGGTAACGTGAAAGTGTTAAGCATCTTTGAGAAAGACCTGTTTAATCCCAGAGTAAGAGTCTTCTCCGCTTAGGAGAAGGAAGGAACGAGACACTCCATTTTCCAAAAAGTATTGCTGGAGAGGTCAGAGACAGAGCACAGCCTAAGTTATAATGAGGCTCCTGAACAGGTTTCCGGGTAAGACCACCCAGAAGCAGAAAGGGAAAGCTGCCTGGCTGAATTGGCCTAGAGCAATGGGTGCGTCTCCCTTTAGACTTTCTGTCAGGAGAGGCAACAAACTGCTCTTTCCTGAATGGGGGAAAGCAAAGGTCACAGCTGTGTGACCGGGAATGCAAAGGACAGGTGGAAAGGAGAAACCAAGTCTTCTACTAGCAACAACCTCTGTCAGATTAAGATGGGACTCTTCAGAGGAGAGTGTGTTACAATGACAGAAGACGAAGGCACTAGGTATAATTTTATTAAGCCAGGGCTCATCCTCAATGCCTTGAATAAGTACAATTTTGAACAAGCCACGAACAGTAATAAGAGATATGAAAGGACTGTTAAGCGATGGTTCAAATCAGGAAGATTTCTGCAATCTCTATTACATTCCTTGGTATTAAAAACAATAAAATTAAAACAGTATTCAGAGGGGGAGGTACCAGTGGCTCCTTCCACGTTCAGAATTTCACTAGCTCTCTGGCAGTCAGCATTCCCGAAGAAGGGCAGAAAGAAAAGGGAACCCAGTGCAGCCAGTTGCTCTGGCTCCAATCTTGCAGATCTTACAGACCTGAAAGGGGTCCACGCTACGACCTCCAGTAAGAGCCAAGAAAGAGTAAAGTAATATAAAGGAATTGCTGTTTTAGCCAAGTTGGAATTACTAGGTATTTACAACCTCTGTATCAGGTGCACACATGCACATCCACACATGATATTTACTCACCTTTTTTACCTTTAATTTTTCTTCTTTTATTCTTTCTCTCTAGACTGGGGATTTCAGGAGATGATCCCTCCTACAAGTAAAATCCTTTATTAACAAAAGTTACAAGAGCAATTTTGCCGAAATCAAGCACTGAAACATCCACTGTCTTTTCAAGAAGCGTTACTTGTACCCACAGAGAAGAATATAGAATTCATCTTGTACATTCTCATATACTTTGTCCTTCCCTCTCCCCTTAAAAAAGGGGATAACAAAATGAGTTCTATGTTTTCATCTCAGCTAAGATAAAATATTAAATAAGCAGGCAGCCTTCTACATGCTCAAGTGTGCAAGATGCACGCTCTTGGTCCAAAATTTCTGCTTCATATTTGCTAGTTGCTGTTCTACAGGATGAAACTGGTGAGAAATTAAGATTATTCCTTTCTAGAGTTAACTAAGCCATTTTGCTAATTTTGGTCAGAAGCACTTTTTTTTTTTTCTTTCCCCTTTGGGAAAGTCCAAGATAGGACAGGGAAACATATTCAGATGGAGAAAGTTGTGGTTTACAGAACAAAAGTGCTATCACCTTTACTCTTTTTCTACCTTATTTTAAACATATCATTTTGTAATAAGGGTTGTGTGTCCATGCTTGACCATAAAACCAGGAATACCTAATAAAAAAATAATAATAATTTCACTACAGCCTAGCTTTCATTTAAACTTTGAAATATGAGGGTCCTCGCTATAACACTGCTTACTCCCACAGAAGCATTTTCATAGTTTTTGTTTACCAGCACGGTACGCCAGTCACCAAACACGAATTACAGAGCATTTGCAGTTTCTAACTAACAAGCGAAAATTAAACAGGAGTCCTGCACTACAATGGCAGAAACGGAGGGCAAAAAGATTCTAACACAAAATTACGTCAAATAAGCCAACTAGTTTGAGGGTAGACATCAACGTACAAGATAATCAAACTGAAAGAGAGTCCTCCTTGTAGAGATCATTCCAAAATTGAATGACCACTGACAGGAGAAACATTTTTTTTTTTTTTAGTATCCTAAAGCAGTGCAAAATTGCACACTTACTCCTGTTGCTCTTCGTTTCTTTCCAATTCCTTGGCTGTCATTCTGCTCAGTACCAGATGTGCAGCTACTGTCTGTAGCTGCATCTACATTATTAGATATTGCAAGAACCGAAGCACCATCTGAAGCCAGAGTATTTTCTTCTCCTGAGACTTCCAATACATTTTGTTTTTCAAGAAGAGGTGTTCTCTTATCTGGACTCTCCTGATCTTGTTTTGTGAGGCCTGTGACCTCAGAGGACACCTGCAGGCTATGTCTCCTTCCACTTGTCTCAGTTCTTTCAGACATAAATGGTGACAAAGGAAGAGAAGATGTCTCACGTTTAAAGTCAGCCTCAATGTCAGCACTTGCTTCATACCCAGATGTTGAGTGATGAGAGTGGCTGGAGGCAATTATTTGCCTTTGCTCACTTTCTTTTGTTTTGGCTTGGTCACTGAAGAAGCTATAAGGAGGAGGATTTCGGTCCACAATCACACTGCTTTCAGAAAAGCTACGTTTTCTGGCTGACCCAGGCACTGCTAAGGAAATTCCTTCCCACTGGAATCCTTCTAGAGTAGACAGATCAGACTCTTCACTGAGTTCTAGACCCTCCTGCTCATTTTGAACAAGAGGCACCATTTCTATGCCAAACCTTTAGCAAGACAAAAAGAAAAATACATACATATAACAAGTCAGATGAATCTAGAAAAAAGCCTTTTCTTACCTACCCAAATGCATATTTCTGCATCAAGAGATCTACCAACTCATTACACTGCTATTCAGCTGCTTTGTCTGATCTGGGAATGGAACATCTTTTTGCATAACATAAAATTAAGTTTTGTGGCTAAGAACTGATGCTACAACTTCCAAGTCAGAAACAAACTTTCATTAGCTATAGGGGTTCTTAAAATTTGAATACTGTCCAGAAGTCTTGTTAATGAACTCACAAATCCCCAAGTGGTTACCTTTGCTGCTCTGTTACTGCAGCTTACCTCTGAAGGAAAGTTTCAGATAGGAGCAAAATCTGCATCATTTTCAGAATCACCTCTACCAAGGTTGCAACAAGCAAAGATGACATATTTGCAAGAGGCTTGAAGCAACAGCCCCTACATAAGGCTTAATAAAAAGTTTCAAATAGGTGAAATGTTTTATAATTGCTTCCTCTAAACACAAAAACAAACTGCTTATCAGATTAAATCAGATTAACAAATGAAAAGGAAACATTTATTTCACTTGCGACAAAGCAAGTGCTTGTAGTTTGAATACATGAATAAGCAATTGCAACGTTGTTTACATCTTCACTACGTTTTTTACATTCTTCTACTTACTAACGCCTGAAATGCAAATATGTTGCTAGTGTCCATATTCAGATATTAAGCAATCATTATGAATTGGTAAGAATCAGCTTCTTCTCTGAGCAACAGCAGCAAGGTGACCTCTTTAGCAGCAGACTACAGTTACTTACCTGTGGATAGACGTCCACAGCAGCAAGAAATCTTTATAGACTCAAATTATCTATACATGCAAAAGATGGTGGTATAGCAAAACTCTTTCTGAAGCCTTAGCTTTAGGATTATGGAACGCGTTTAAGGTTTGGGGCAAGGCCCCCCCCTCCCCAAGGCATATTTAGACTTGAAAGCTACCAACCTTGGTAAACCTTTGCCAAGTTCTTGTTTCTTCTTGGTTACCTGCTGGATGACTTGATCCCAGTTTACATTCCTCCGGGAAGCACTAAGAATCTGCCTGAGGGTGGGTTTAAGCCCTGACTCTTTCTCAGTCTCACTTCTCCGATGGCCACTAACGTTCCGAATTCGCCGTGCATTATTGAGATTGGGCTCTGGAAGATGTGTCCCAGCTTTGCTCTTCAGACTAATATGTCGTGTCAGGTCTCTTTGCAGAGAGGCAGGGAGGCCAAGTTTGCTTAAATCAGGAAGAAGGAGGCCTAATGACTGGCTTCCTCCCTTCTGCAGCTCATGATCTGAAGGATTTTCAAAACCTTCCATTTCAAAGTGATCACGTGACTTCACATGCTCTTCATCACCTTCTCCTTCCTGCGTAGTTTTCAAGTCCACCTGCAAATGGTCCTGACTGCTCGGAGATGATGTGGATTCCATCTGAAACACTGAATCTTTTTTATCAGCAGAAGAGATAGCTGAAACAGCGCTTTTTTCATCATCTTCCCTTTCAGAGGCAGCAGGTTTACCTTCTGGAGTGTCACAGGGTAAACAAGAACTAACAGAAGAACTCAACTTTTCAACTCTTGCTTCAGATTTGTCACTCCCTGTTAGTTCATCATCACTCACATCCTCTAATGAATCTAGTCTGAACTTGCTCTTCGGAGAGACTTTCCCAGCTTCTTCCATATTCTGATCACTCGTATCCTTGCAAGAGCTTAAGTGAGGATTTTGTAAGGAGCGGCTGCATTGAAGTTCTTCGTGTTTTTGCTGTGCTTCACTTAGGTTATTAACAGGTTCTCCAAGACTGCTGCCAAGCACATCTCTGTTGCCTTGTAAGTTACCTGCACACGCACTGTGCGGCTTCGATGCATAAGAGGGGAAACTCTTAGTTTCCAAGTTCAGTGCATTCAAATGATTCTGCTGTTCACCACTAGTCGAGGATAACAGAAGCTTGACATTTTTTAAGAGATTCTGTGTGTCCTGCTTTTGGGAAGAAGACTTCATGTCTGTGATATTAAGGAGAGGGGATTTCAGTGATGGCATCCTACTACTTCTGCCATCATCTTTGTCAGGCTTTTCACCACTAGAACAGTCTGTCATTACCTTGCAAGAATCAAGGTAATCTGGGATTACATTAGTGTGGGAAGGTACTTCCCGTTTCTTAAGTTTTGCGAGGCCTGCATTGGATTCACTAGTTTTCACTTTCATTGATGAATCAGTAAGAGGCGTAAATACAGAATCTGTTTTCTCTGGAGTTTTAGAAACGTTATCTTCAGACCATGATTGCTGCTCTGCAGCTTTCTGGGATGGGTAAGGAGTCCAGCGATACATTTTATCTCTGGAAGGACTGCCACTTTTTCCACTGGTTCTTGAGGCTTTGTTATCTGGTTGCTTGGAAGTACCAAAATCCAGGGCCCCCTCAGGAGGAAGTTTATCACTAGTAAAATCAAGTGACTCACGCCTATTATTTCGATCTCTATATGGCACAGTATCAATGGTGTCCTTCTCCTGCCACTGCCATGTATACCTTTCCTTATTATATTTAATTGGGTCTAATGAATATCCATCTCCTGCGCTTCTGAAATCCCAGCCGTTTGCACAATGAGGACTAGATTTCCAGTTTCCTCCATAATTCTTAGAATTCCAGCTAGAAAAATTACCTGTTCCTTCGGAGTGCCAAGTAGGATTTCTCCCCCTGGCACCATGATGCCAATTTGATGTTCCTCCTCCTCGCCCACTTGGATGCCAAGCATTTCCAGAATTCCCATAGTTATGCCGATTTGAAGGGTTTCCTGAAACATTTTGGTGCCACCCAGAGCGTCCCCTCGGGCCACCTGGATGTCTGTTTATATTAAGGTTCCTCAGAGAGTGTGAAAATTTGCCTTGCCTAGGACTAACATAATCATCCTTTTCCCATTTCCAGTCCCTCTGTGATGGATTATGATGATGCCACGATGACTGATCATAAGCTTCTCTCTCTTTGTAAGCAGCTCTTTCTTCTCGCCTTCTCTGTGATCTCCTATCATCACATTCTAATTCTTGGTTTGCACAGCATGGTTCAGTTTGCCTACAAAACAATTTAGAGAAAACTGAATTTTCACTCTATTCCACTTGAAATCCAATAGAACACAAGCGCCATCCATTTTATCTGCACTGGGAAGAAAATATTATACATGAAAAGAAAAGGAAGCAACTTATTTAGCTGTTCTGCTCCTCCAGCTTCTGTAGCATTTGACCTTCAAGGCTAGTGTTGTACCTTTACTTAAATCTGATATTCCAAAATTGCTCTTACAAGGACAACCGATTTGGTGTACGGACAACTCAACAGAAAAATTCTTAAATATTTCTGATTTAAGTCAGAAGGGAATATTCCTTTCTATTTACTAGATATGGGACTAATAACAGACAAGCAAAAAAGAAACTTTTGTGTTGTACAATCTTTTTGAAATTTGAGTAGGTCTTACAAGATAGAAGAAAAATTATTAGTTGGATGAGATTTTTTTTTTCTGAAGACTATTCTGCTTGTGGTAGATAGCATTACTAGGGTGAATTGATACAAAATAAAAGGAAATTTAGGCTGAGAAAAGCAGTAATTCTAGTAATCAGAGCAAACAATGATATCGTGTCTCGGTTTAAAAAGCTTAAATTACAACACACACGTAAAACACTGACAGAAGTTGTGCCTCAGATACAAAAATATTTTGTCTTGTTTTAACTGACGGAAACAGTCCACAGCATGCAATGACTACTTTTAAGAGCCTCCTAGAACCACTACGTACTGCCCTTTTGATAAGGCTTGCGCTTGGCAGCCTGTCATGAACACGTGGTAAATCGATCACATGTACATTTAAAGACAAATGCTACCTTAATGCCAACAGCTATTCCCAGGTCAGCAGTTTAAATGCTGTAAGTATTTATCCTACCCAAAGCGGAGTTTTCATGAGGATTTTTTCAAAACCTGATTACAGAACTGCTTCCTTCTGACCTTAGAGGAATACATTCACTCTAGGTCCCTGGGCAAGCAAGATAGAAAACGTTTACACCACTGTTTCTGCTCATAAAACAGCAGACTTCAGGGTGAACTGAAAATTCATACTGCATCACCCTTCACACTGCAAGTTTTCAGCACGTTCCAGTTTTGCTAAAAAGGTGTGCAAATAATTACTGCCTAAGCTGAAATGGGTACCACCCTATTATCGGACTACGGCATGAGATAAAGTGAGCTCTGAGACAACCGGCCAGAGGAATGGTGTCTAAGTGATACCATTAGTTCTAAGAGCCGACTCAACTAGATTATGATCTAATGGAAACAATTTTGCTGTATTAGTAACTTATTTTTTTCCAAAGCTGCATCCAACAGAGATAGATTTTAAGATTTCGGTTATCTCAGAATACCAATACTACTGATAGCGTTACGTTTTTACTGAACAGAAGCAATAAAAGTGATATTGTTACGATCTACATTGATCAATATCAAAAACATAACTACCGTGCAATACAGGGACACCCCCTAGTATGACAGAACAGCTTCAAAACCAAACAGCGACTTGTGCTGTTTGAGACACTAGTTGGAATTTCCAGCCACAGAAAGCAGGAGCCAAATTCAAATATCATACACCCATTTAATACCACTGTCATTAAATAAATCTATTTAAACAATATAGTCCCAGTTATAACATTACATTAACAACACACACTTGTGGCGTCACATGCAAAATAAAAGGCCATGCTTGTTACTCTCTGTAGCACTGTATTTCACAGTGAGTCACTAGAGTTATGTTCAGATAATGGTAAGCAATAAGAAACGGGTAAGACATTTCATTAAGGATTGATTACAGGATTCAAGTGTGACATTAACAAAAAATCCAATTCCTTTTAAAGACTGCAAATCAGAGCTTTATAACATCAATTGTGTTCAGCAATGGTGTCTAACCAGGTTCATACCGTAAAAACTTCCCTCAATGCTAACACTGCTGTCACATTTATCCAACACTTCGGTTAAAAGCAGTATCAAATATGAAAATAAAAATATTAAGGCTCTTGATTCCACGTTAGGTTGACGCCACAACGTAACAGTTCTAATCTGTAATGGAAAATAGTTGACTTCACTTCCCTACATATAGTAGATGAACAGAACAAGAACATTTAGCAGAATCATATTTACTCGCTGAAATTACAAGCCTCACAGAGCTCTTGGGTTGTTCTTACGATACTCTGATTGCACACTGTTCACACTTCAAAAGCACCTAAGCCTTAGCAGCAACTGCGTTAAAAGCAATTCTATGATGCTACATCTAAGAGGAGAAAGGGAAACTCACCGGTTCCGTTCCTTCCTTTGCTTGATTAGTTGAATGAGTTCTTTGTCAAGGTATTCTTCTTCTGCCTCTTCTTTCTCTTCCTCTTCTCTATCATGGGCATCAACATTGTCTTTGTGCAGCTGGCTGGAGATGTGTTTGGCATATGCTGACAAGCCCACCAATGTCACCCTGCACACCTGGCACTCATGGTTGCTGTCCCTAGGGAAGGAGGCAGAGGGTGGACTGTCAATTCTGCCAACAGGCATGGCAGATAACTCCGGTCTTGCTTTGTTTCCTCTGAACGTGCCTGTCTCTTAGCCAATGGCTTATGTGCAAGGCACCCACGTTTTGCTCAGTATATTTAAGTTACTTCAATTTTCTGGTCTTTTTTTTTTCTCTCTCTTCTTCAAGGTTTAATTTTCTGATGGTCAGTTTTTAAAGATTTTTTTCCAACAATCAAGAGGTAAAAAGACTTGGTAATAAAGCTGTGTGAACTGGAACAAGAAATTCTTCTTGAATTGTTGTACTCAAAATCTTTTCAGAGGAAACATAGTGAGCGCGGAGGCAGAGTGGAAGGCTTACAGAGCTAGCAGAAGCTGCTCTGAAGCCTATCCATGGTGCCAGCTGCACTGAGGAGGCCTGGTGACAGCTTCTACATTTAATCATTGCCTCAAGCCTTGCCCCAGTGAAATTTAGAAAGGGGAGGAGGCATTACATGGACACAGCCAATCCTAATACAGCATAACTAAACCGGGACAGCTGAGACTGCTGCCTGGAATTCAAAGACTCCACAGCACGGCAAGTGATGGGAGGGTGTCTTCAGTTCACTGTACTTTATTTGGTTCCAATGCACATGAGGTCTGCTTTCTACTTTAGAAGACTTATCTTAAAAAATATAAAAATTATTTCAGCTGGAAGAAGTTGACAGCTGTGAGTGAGACAAATGGTTTTACTCATATTTCAGTGAATACTGGGCTAAAGTTATGACTTTTTTTTTTTTAAAGAAAATAAAATCTCTAGAAATCTCATTTGTTCTGACAAATCCTTTAGATATTGCAATGTTAAGGAAATAGGTTGTTAATAATAAACCTAAATAAGGAAAATATGTTCACTGGGAAAAAAAAAAAAAGTCAGAAAAGTTAATGAGAGTATAGCCCACTGCATATACATCACCAGGACCAACTTAGGACTCACTGCCTGCCTCCACAGTGCTCTCTTCAGCTCTGCCATTTAATTCATAAAAGCAGCACTTCATATCCTCATGAGACACAAGAAACTGCAGTGTTATAACAGTAGGGCTATAATAGCAACACACAGCTCAAAACTGCGGCCAAGAAATTGGGATCCATAAAGAAAAAAAGCAAACAAAGCCCCATTTAAAAAAATAAATAAATAAATTATAAATTATAAAATAAAATGAAGGAAAAAAAAAATCAAAGATGCATCTTCACGCAAGATATTAACTCAAGATCCTTATTGGTATGCTTAATGAAGAGTCAGCAATTAACCACTAAAAAAAAAAATTTATTTTTCCTAGAAATCAGTTTTTCGCACTAACATAGCTCAGATACTTAACCAATGATGGCATTCAGTCATAGCCAGATAGGGTTTTGTTTTTAATAGACTAATTCATAGATATTACACTTTTTACATTTATTTTTTTTTCTACATGGCAGTCTAATTCCAGATCAAATACTTGGATAAATTTAACTTGCCAAGTCAGTAGTTTGCAAATTCAGCCTGTGTTTTCTGAAGAGGGGTGTATTTCATTTTTCACACTTGGCACTCACTAATAAATATTCAAAACCCAGATATTATGTACTGTGGGCCATCTCTTTAACCCAACAAAGACAACCAACTCGGTAAATTTTACTAATGCATCCGAAGGAACAGAATCCTCTCCACACTCATAAACGGCACAGCTATACACTGCTAATAAGACTTATTTTTAACTTAGGTCAGTATATAAGGCAAACTGTAGCTTCTTGCTTGAAAAAGCGCTCTTTTAAAATAATGTCAAACTTAAGGACACTTCAATTAGAAACATACTTCAGTGGGACCAATACGTTTTAAAGAACCCTCCAGATCCTTTGTAAGAACCGTGTCTCAATTCCTTCATAAACTGTCCCTCATCTTTGTTTATAAATTGACTGACTAAATGCAAAGTCCTTTCTTACTTTGCACAAAGCCAGCGAGTTCATAGCTGCCCTAAAGACAAAGAACTTACTTCTACTCAGTTCTAACTTGTGAGTTATTAGTTTTTAAGCTGTGGTTCTTGGACCACTTAGTAGCCTGGAAAGGACTCAAGTAAGTAATGATTATAATTCTGTGTCCTTCTGCTAAGCTATAAGAACCTAAAGAATAAACAACATCAGTTTTTGCACGTGAACAACTGCTGTAACTATAAAGATCAATTTGCTGGGAGTTTGGGTGGTTACACTTAAGGGAATTTTGATTTCCTTCACCTCTTTCCTTTCCTCAGTCCCATAAGTATCAGCCAGAATTGGGTACCTGCCCCCACCCCACAGCACATATTGATCATATCTGTGCATTCCCCCACCATATAGGCCAGAGTTTCATCCCATCTGAAACACCACACAATCTTATCTGTTTAAGAAGGCCAATCACAGATTGAAACGCACAGGACAAAAGTAGTCTCAACATGAAAACATCCAAGAGCATTATTTTTTGGATGTGTACTTGAAATTGTAGACTTGATAACATCCCTCTGAACAAGAGCATTATTTCGTTCTCAGTGACAAAGAAAAAAATCAGGCTCCCTAAAGCTTTATACCTGACATTTAATTGCCATATCATCCAACTGACATATGTCCTATGGAATAAGATTTCAGGAGGAGAAAAGCAGCCTTAAGAAGTTTTGATGAAATTTTTCTAGCCCTTGAGACTGCTCAATTAACTTTAAAAGGAAAAAAGTGTGAGCCAGTGTATGCATGCCTCCTTCACCTCTTCCCTACAGGAAGCCTGAGAAGTAGTTGGATGCTAAATCTGCAGGTGGGAAATGCTGGTGCAATGCACTTCAGTGGTGTTCTCTGTTACATAGTTTAACCACTCCTAAGGCTGTTGCCTGTGCTTCACGTTTTCTAGCTGGAGCGTGTCCTTCTTTCTTTCCAAAACTCCTAAAACACATCTACTAAACTGAAACGAGAGGAAGGAGAGACAGAAACTGCAAGGCTGTTACTGCACAGTAAGAAGTGCAGTCTTTTATTCATTTTCATTTTGAGAACTAGGATGGTAATAACAAAGGCATCTTCCATGAACAAAGAATTTTGCAAGTAGTAATGCTGTTACCTTAACAACAGAATATGTAATACTGATGAAACTTCAATTTTATTTCAGTCTTAAGGAAACGGAAAACCAAGAAGTGTCAGACCACTTGCAAGCCACCAGGGACACAATATATAACTTTTAAAAGTTACCGTTACTTGGATAGAAGTCATAAATTAGAAAAGATTGACTTAGAAAACCAAAAATAAAATGCCAAAACATGCAAAATTTTGCTGTAATCCTCACCACTTTCAGTCTCTGTATCCACCCTAGTCTCAGGACCATTGTCAAAAGAAAGCCCAGAATAGAAATGCTCTACAAGTTAGCCGACCAGCAGCCCTAAGTAAGCTTCCAGTGCTGATGACATTTTGGTTCCTGAGCAACCACTTCCCAGCTGTTCAGTGATAGAACAAATGTCTTTTCACTCTCAATAGTGCAGCAGATGAGACATTTTGTGTAGTACAATGCATTTGACCCAAGGGACATTTTCAGAATATTCCTATCTCCCAAGACCCAATTATGTGGGGCATGTCAGAGAGGAATGTAAAATGATCTAATTTTTTTCTGAATTCAGCTACTTATTAAAAAAAAAAAAACAAGAAACATAAGGCTGAGCAAGGGATGGCAACAGCAGAAGAAAAGGAGAAGAGAGGAAAAGAAATGATAATTTTTTTAGGCACTCCATCTTTACTGTGAAACTATTTTTATTTGAAAATGAAACAGCTGCCAGGAAGCTACATTTTCTCAATGCGACACAATAACAACTTTGCCAATTGGAAATCTGAACAATTTGAACATTTTTTGAATCTCAATGTAACAATAAATTTAAGTTCAGGAGGAAAAGTTTATTTAATTTCCTTTTCAGTATATTTTTAATATTTTGATGGGTCACAGCCTTTGCCTACCAACAAACTGATCGATAGAGATTCTGAAGACAAAAAGTTCTTTCCCCAGTTTACTAACCTGCTGTGAAGCCTTGGACAAATTAATCAAATAGTAGATGGAAGTAGAAACTGGGCAACAGAGGTGAATTATTATCAGTTAGTATGCACTTTAAGGTAAACAGTATCTTCATTACTTATATAGCATAACATTTATATAGCACTAGACACAGCAGATCCCGAGCCTCAGCTGTAGTCTTTCTGTATCAGAGAGGGCAGAAACTCATTTCAGATTAAAACATGGGCTGGAAGTAGAACGCCTCGCAATGCCATAACTGTGCTGCAATAAAGGTTCTTTTTTACTTTAATGACAACATTTGACATGTTCGCAGATATAAGCTGGCATACTCATAAGCTGTAAGATTTTCTGAAGGACTTAACCTAGAAACATACTAGGTTGCTGATTTAGACAAACTACAGTGATACTTAGCAATTATACTCAACAGTAGCATAAAATATGGAATAGCTAACTCAAGAAACTATATTCAGCTGTAGCATCTATGCAGTACAATCTCATACTCTAAAACTTTTTTGGCAGATATATATATATTAATTATATATATATACACACACACACACTTTGCATGTAAAATGTTACTTAAGAGAAATAAATTTCTAACTTTATCTAGTTTTGTAGCATTATAAAATAAAACAATTGAAGAGTTTCACTAGAATTCATACTGGCACAGCTTAACTATGATGGCATTAGTGTCCATCATAATGTCTTCGTTTCACTCTGCCTTTCTAGAATAGGCTCTAGAGCCATACCAGGAGCTCTCATTTTGCACAAAACAATGAAGCTACATGAGCTAACAATTAACTTGAAAACAGAAGTAATCTACAATTTTTCTTCACGGGATTCCAAATAGATAACTGACAGAATGGATTTCCTCTCCCTTATCTCTAAGAGTTGAAAGAAGATCAATTCTTACTCCATTAAAAGGTGTTTAAAATAGATTTGCTCTTTTCAAATAAAGTCTGTGGTGCAAGATGATTAAAAAAATAATTTTTATATCAGACATTTAAGTGCAAACTGGCTGATCTCTCTGGTTACCTCAAAAGCCGTACACATTAAAGGACTTCTAAGTGCACTCCAGTCATACCCTGACCCCATATATCAGGATGATATCTGAATTCCAAAGGATGTAAATAAAGGCATGGAAACCAGGAGGGAACCACCATGCATCCTGGTTAGGTCTCTTCCTTAATCAAACAATTGTACCAGTGTTGCAAAGGATAAGGCCATCACCTATCACCATATGTAGCCTTTATGTCCAAGATGTCAGTCTTTTCACAGAGTTTTAAGAGATCAACAATTGTTTCCGCATGATTGGAAACTTTTAAAAAGGATTATCACTGTTCACAGTTATTATGCCAAAGCCACAATGCTCGTGCTGTCAAAAAACTCAGTATGAAAATGCCTAGACCCAGATGACTTCTTTTTTTTTTTTTTTAAAATCTTGCAAGAGCCTAAGAAATACTAGAGTTTCCCCCACCATTATTTGTTTCAGTTAGCAAGCCTCCTGACTCTTAGACATTCAGAGAACATGGTCATTGCCAGTTTTATCATAAGGCATGCAGACAACTGAAGTACAAAAATAATTATGTGGAATTCAGCTTTTATGGGAAATAAGACATGAGTTCCCCCAGAGAGTGACACAAGAGTGATAAAAGCTGCACAGAGAGGAAGGATGCAAGACTGTTCTCATACCTTCCCTTCAGGTTTTCAAGTTCTCTGTGGTGAAGCATACTTCTCATGTGTTCTTCCATCTCCTTCAAGAAGAGGGGGGGAAAAAAAGTAGAATTGGTCATAACAAAACAAAACGGTGTATTGTATTTGAAAAGTTCAGTGTTGAGAACTATCCTATGCTGCAGAAAAGTGTAGTCTGCTCCAGTAGGGCTGTAGCAGTCACCTTTTCTGATTCTTTGATCATGGAAGCACAAGTGATCACACGGCTAAGAAGTCAAATAATGATACCTTTCTGAGACGGGACACAGAGGAGTCATTAGAATTCAAAATAAAGTGAGCAGAATCCCAGGAGACAGACAAACAGAAGGGGATGTAGCAAAGTTTATGATTCTATTTTTTGACAAATTATTGTCAATCGTTATTTGTGTAAAAAAGCTGACTGATACCACTCTCAAGCACCACAGTATTTATAATACTGCATTTTCCTGTGCAAGATGAGCAGTATCTCTGAATTTACTTTATGACACAGTTGTAATTTCATCATCATATAATATTTTGCTCTGCTGGATATATTTCGGAAACTAAGCTGCACTTAACAAGTCAGCTTGTTGTTTAGATCAACCTTGAGCCATGAACTACAATGGTAGTATAATTATTTGTGAATGAATGAGCTGCTGGAAGAGAAAAGTTATTCATAATTCAGGGATAGAAAGCAGTTCAGAAGATTTCACTTCCTCTGCCTGCTTGAGCCACAGTATTTGGAAGTCTTCAAAGAACAGGTATTAAACAGTATCCTCCCCAGTCCTTGAATTTTCATCTGCAAGGGAAAGTAACACCTTCAACCTTCAAAAGTTATGCGAATTAATACATTGGCACTTGCAAGATATCCCCGTGCCATGTCGCTAAGCGATACATTAAAATTCCATTAAAAAGCACTGTTTCAGGGCAGGGTTCGAATGACATTCAATAAACAAACAGAAGATATATATAAAATCAAGTTAATGAAAATACAAGCTGCTCTGGATCATTTCGCATTCTCTTTCCATATGGAAACAGACAAAGTCGAAAAAAAAAAGAAATGAGTGTTATTACACAGATTTCTTAACACAGGATAACTGATGGCTGAATGGATCGAGTGCTTTTCACTTTATTATCTTTATACAACAATATAAGAACCTCAAAATTCCTGCTATTTTTAATGTTTGGAATCAAGGATACTGCACAGCCCATTTCAAGAAAGGTACTCTAAAGCACACACAACTTTACTCTCTGATTTGCAAAAGATCTAGACCAATATATTCCTGGTACCGGAATAAAACCTCCCACTTCCCACACTTTTTGTTTAAATGGAAGTACTTCTCATACACATTTTATATATAAGTATCTACTGATGCGAGATGTAAAGCATTAATTATTTACCTTTTTTGAGCTGTACACAATGTGACACAATATGCATTTTCGTTCTCGGACCATGCTTATTACTCTGGAAAGATCTTATCCCATACCTGCAAATAACAATAATTAAAAAAAAAAGAAATCAAGATTTCTCCCCTCATTTTTCTGTTTTTGATAAGGAAAGTAAAAATAAGAGTTACTATTCATGCTGAGTTTAAGAGAATATATAGCTCTCTTATGCATAGTCAACATTCTTTGAAAGATAATGAATGTAGTTTTAAATAGTTGTCTAAAAAGCTATAAAACATAGCTTCCCCTTTCTTACATTTTTTTCCTTGTCTTCCAAGATATGATGCTTATTCTACAAACAAGCAGATACCTACTGCTCTCAGCAATTCAACCAGATTAGCAAAAAACTTCTCAACTAAGGATCATCAGAGAGATAAGGAATTGAGGAAGTCAAGCGGGTCAAGCTACAATCTTTATTTTGGTACACAGGGCAGCTCAGGTAGGAAGAAAGACTTTTAAGGTCCAAAGAAAACGAAGGTTATTCATGACAGCCAAAAATGACAGTACTCAAGGCTTACAAGTTCATTTATTCTCTGTAAAATGAAACCTAAAATCATTTAGAATTCAGTATTTTTCTCATTGACCTACAGAAGAACTGCATACATGCAGTTATCGAAATACTTACCCAGGCAGTGTTTTAATGTGCATTCTCTAACTTTATCACATGGATACCTGATGCATTTGAATCATTAGTAAAATCTATCCATTTTGACAAAGCATCTCCAGCAGCATAAGATTATCCAGAATTTTGCATCAGAATGTAATATTAAATATTTTATCACTGAACTACGTAAGAGTTGCATACAGGCAACGGAGAGCAACTGCAGGTCAAAGTATACGTTATGATAAAATACATACAGTGTTTAAGTCTTAAGGAGCACAACTAAATTTATTAGGGAGGTAAATAACAGTCAATTTTATAATACAAAGAAGGAAGTATCTACATAACTAGTGGAATAAATATTTACTCTTTTCTTATTCTCAATAGAGAGTAAAACACTGAATGATTACGCATTACAGCCATTTTTGATCAAGCTGGCAGAGACAGTTCCTCACCCTAAAGTAGAAAGATGTGATCTTTTACGACTGATAGACATTTTTATATCTCCACACAGAAGGACAGTTCCTTCTAACCTCTGCTGTTTTACAACAATCAACTTTAGAGCCAGTTTAGCTCACACCATCAAACTTAACCTGCAAGAGCCTTCTTCAAGAGGTCATTTCCACAGCCTACCCTGCAAAATTAATTTTAATTATTTACCATCAACCTTCTAGATCTGGGGCATTAAACCCTCAGAACCTAGTACTGCACAGAAGTTTTGAGCAAAGAGTTGAGCAGGAACTGGATTTTCACCAAATCCTGATTACACAGAGCTAAAACAGCTCTGACCTTCAGTGGCATTATCCAACTGTAAACCAAGAAAAAAAGCTAGCAAAACCACACCCACTCTAGTTCAGAGGTGTCGTTCTTTTGATAAATAACGCCTTTTCTCCAGATTTGCATGTCCGCTTACAGCTAATATACGTATCAACATCAGTCCAGCAGAAGCGGAAAGTAGCTGAGAGGTGTAACAGCCCTTTAATCTTCAGATAACAGAGAAAGCAGTTTCCTCCCTAACAAGAAATTCTCATCATCATACCGAAACCAAGGCATTTAAAACACAACAGCAGATTCAGTCATCGAAAGGATTCCCGACGTCACCCAGCCAGCATTCCGCGGGTGCCATTCTTGATCTCGCTGAAATACTTGATTTAAACAGTGTTTAAATATGCATTCTCTAACTTTATCACATGGGCACCTGATGTACTCGAAGCATAATTGACAGCTATTTATTTTGACAAAGCAACCCCAAAGGTACAAGAGTATTTGGAATCCTCAGATTCAGAACTATTCTGAACTTTGCATCAGCCTAGGTCACACAGAGCACGTATAGAAGCTCATGTGATATCAGTTACGCATATGCAAAAGCACCTGCCTTCATGGAAGGTCAGAACACAGAAGGAAGATGTTTTAGAATAAAGTATTTTGCAACTATTTGAAACCACATATAAAGAGCATGACTTGTTTTTAAACCATTTAAGCTGAGACAGCCGCTAAAGAATGTTTAGGCTAATATGAACAGAGATTAAAAATAAGATGCTTCAACCTCAAAGACTGTTTTCCAGCAAGTTATTAGACATCTGAGAACAGGAACACTTCATCAGCATACTTCTTACACACAGGTGCAGCTACAGCAGATCAAAGAACTATTTATGATTATATCCAAGTGAGAAAGTTTTGAGGGCCTGGTCAGTATAGGAAAGCTATTTTAATGCTATTAACATGAAGTTACCCCTGAAAAGTAAGGATGCTAATCCTTGCACCAATTTCAGATAGCTTCCTTATGCATTAAAAGGTATCCTACTCCTCTGATATTCCTCACTAGCACTACTTTGCATATTAATAGAATAATGCCCTACACGTGTTCAGGATCTTGCTTAAAATCACTCAAGTATTTACGGAATTCATCCTACACAAGGGTAAAACATCAATGTGGGACTTGAATCAGGACAAACAAGTCAGTAAAGTATGGTGACTTGCTGGCATCAGTTACCACATAACATTAAAGAGCTTTCACAAGTAGAACTAACATCACACCTGTTTTGGCTAATTAAAACATATAGTAACTATACATGATTACAGGAAGAGTTTAAGGCTAACTGCCCAATCAACGGGGCACTACTTATGACAGAGTACTAAAAATACTAACGGGATTCAAATGCTATTGGATGTCACCATGAAAAGTGAAACTTTCATCTCCACAGAGAGAAACCCTTAGAGGCAAGAACTCAGATGTAAAGAGATTTAGTAGATGCTATGGGGACCGTGAGAAGACAGACCCATGTTCTATTTCCAGTTCACCTTTTGACTTACTGTCTACATAGAGCAAAACCACTTCCTTTCATGCTTAGCTTTCTCCCAAATCCTGCTATGAAACCTAAGGCTCACTTTTAGGAAGTACTTTGAAATCATGGTCACTTTCATGAAGTACTGTGAGAAACGCTATATACATTCAAAATATTCCTTCATTGACTATGCAACAGTAATAAGAACTCGACACCTTTTGAGTCATTTACTGAGCTAAGGCATTTTACCCCACTGGTAAAATGACATTGGTCAGTTTAACCATAAAACTTTTTTTACTGAGAATCTTCGGAAACAGAGTTTTCTCTGCATAAATGCAGGTATACTGGAGTTCTTAAAAAAAAAAAAAAGAAAAAATAATAATAATCCAACACTTTAAATACTGAACTTCAAGCTTTTAGCAGGTTTAACCGTTTGTGCTTTTGAAACTGCCAATTTGCTACATGGCACGGGGAATTACCTCTTACAGGATGTTAAGAGGAAAAGGAGCTAGTAAAGACACACAGGCATAATGAAACTGCAAGCAGAGGTAACTTTTTGCCAAAAAGACATGGCCACCATGTAGAAAGGATATATATATACTTCAAAGCAAAACGTAAAGCCTCCAAAATAAATGAGTTGTTAAGACAATTTTCTGTCTTGACAGAACGTTACTGATCTATAGGGGATTTTTTGCCTGTTTGTTTTTGAAGGGAGCAGATGTATTCTTCAGATACGTGACACAAATGTAACTTGCCCATGGCCTGCATCTACTCAGTGCTTGGAAACACCATACAGATTGAATTAATTAGAGCAAGCCTGTTAAAGAGATTTTGGAGAACACTTCCCACAAACAAAAATAGTCTACAAAGAAAATAAGGCATTAGACTGCTTCCTGCTACAACATTCATTTGCCCACAGTTATTCAACCTTACCGGATAACATACATTAAAAATGTGTGTCAAGGCTAAATCTGCTACAGATCAATGGCTCAACACTCCGACTATATAAAGCCACAAGTGCGACGGAGTGGGGCGGACAGCCCAGCATTCCAGCTGCCTGGAAATCCTCAGGAGGCCTCAAAGAGATCAGCAGTTCTGGCCTGTCTAAAAACTGCATGTCCCTACAGATAGTACCGGATACCATACACTTGACAAAACAGGAGTCTCCCTGCTCACCAAGGCAGAATGTTCTATAACAACGCTTTCCTCAGCCTCCCACAGCAATGTCGCTCCTTTGGCCTTAGTGACTTATCTCCTGCAGCAACTGACCACACAGATGTTCTAGTCAAGCTGCATCCCAAATAAGAGTAATACAGCTGCCACAGAAATGGGGAAGGAGAAGACTGCACAGAGAAAAGAAGTAATTCACCACAACAGGCATTCATGAAATCTTTAGTTAGCTTAAGGAGGACGGGGTATAGATAAAGTCACTTTGACCCGAAGAGAACTCTCTTGCTTTGAGGAATTAGGAATGAAAGAGTATTTAGGCCCTGCAAAGCACTTGAACAGTCACTGCTAGGCTAGACTATATTTAGTTTGATTATCAGCATAAGACACTTTGCTTATCTGCTGAGAAGCCTGGCCTTTTCACAGGAAAATCCAGAGGACAGCACACAGGCCTTCGAAAGTTCTATACAACCGCGTATTGCACCAAAGGAACGCTACAAAGCGATCCAGGAGCCTAACCAAATAATGATTTATTACAGCTTAGTAACAGAGGTAGATTTTCCTCTTAGGGAAAAAATTATACGGGTATAAAATCATTTCCATGTATTATACGCTGCTCCAAACATTAAAGCCCCGTACAATTGTGTGAATGCCGGACAAAAACAAATAATTCATCATATGAATAAAGACAGATACATATACTCAAACTTCATCACCTTGAGCAGAATATATGTGGAATGAGGCACCACCATTCAAAACCTACCTTACTTCCTAGATTCTTTGCCCAGGAGGCACTTGAATTCACTATGCATCACCTTGCTAGACTGCAGCTTTCACTAACGGCCTTAACATTACTTCTGGGCATGTGTGGGAGGTACTTCACCTTCCTACCAAGATGCTGAGCTGTGCAACCCAATCTGGTCAAGAGCCAGAAACAAAAGGACATACTATAGTTAAGTCATGACTGGCAGCATTATTCTGTCCTAAC